ATCAGCGACAAAAATAGAAGCAAGGAAAAAGGGTCTACAGGTGTTCCATGCCTGAAAGTTGATATAGTAACCCAAATCGACGCTATTTAAAGTACAGGAGCTGCATAAACGCTGGTTCTAGCATCAAGTAGAAGCAAACACTTGATAAACGCAAAAGGAGCGCAGTATATAGAACCTTTTCCCCTGTCTCAATTCAATTTAACATGTTCCTTCAATTTGTTTTGAGCTCACGGCGGCGCAAGTCAGCTAGACTTCCATATTAGTTATAAATCAACTAAAAGGTGGACCTTTAGTCTTCTTTTCCTCGCGGTTATGTTGGTGTTGAGACCACTTTTTAGGTAGCCTCGGTTAGGTTAGCCGAAGCCTACAGTGTGAGTACATGAGCTCAATGCTCCTACAGTCCGTACACATTGCTTCTCGAAATACAACTGTGACAACATAGGAGCTAATATGGAATCAAACCAGTAGTACATCGCGAATAAGCAAAAAAAAAAGAGCAATAGCGAGCTACTAAATGATGGAGCATTTCCACTTGAGCAAAGCACGGTACATATACTCCACGGCGCTGCGATTGCAGTGGGAACCAGAAGAACAATAGAAAAGGGCCAAAAAAGATAAAAAACATTGACCTTTTTTTGCAAAAAACAGAAAAAAAATGAGACACATCTTGAGATGTGAGCCTCGAAACTCGAGGGGCTCGACCGGGAATTGAACCCGGGACCTCTTCCACCCTAAGGAAGAATCATACCACTAGACCATCGAGCCATATGTGCTCGGTGCACATGATTGGTACAATATGGACTTGTTGTGGATAGTTATCCTTGCGACTTTTTTGAAAAATATATATAGTTTTTATCGTTTGTATATATCTATGATATACCACTCTGTAGAGAAAATTTCGAGCTTTTTATTGCGCTGTGATACATTACAAAAGAAACAGAATATCATAACAATAGTAATAATAAATCTGATTTAAAATTAATTTTACTATTATTTTTTTCCATAATAAGGGAGAGCAGTGTTAGCTAGTACATAGCTGTGCTACTTGTTGATAGGCGCATTATGCTGTTTACAACTTTACATTGTAAGCTGGATTATATCAGTAGAAAGTTTCTATGTTTTACAAACTATTGAATAGATTAATAGGTAGTAGAGCAGAGAGAAAAAAAGACCAGAGAAAAGGGAAAGAGTAGTTGTTGGCTGTGAAGAATAAAGGAGAAAAGAGAAAAGCATAAATTTTATAACAACTAGGAGCCCAGAGGCATTAGCTTTTTGATGTCTCATTAGGCAACTGGTAGTTGCTGAGCATGCAGCATTTAGTACTATAAGCTAAAGGCACACTAAGATTTTTTCTCAGTAATTTATGCACACAACATGATGTTCTCACATAAATGGTCCAGCAATTTCTATCCAGCAATCCCTCAAGTCCCCTTACCAGATCAGCAATTAGAAGATGATTCATACTTAGCAATCAACTATGCACAATCGTACTGTATATCGACAATGAAGCATGTCTTTTACTCACAATATATATGCTATACTCTATTATGATAATTAATACATACTCCCTTCGATTTTACAAAATTATACTAGTACATTAAAGGGTTTTTTTTCTGTATGGCCCTTAGAGTAGGGCGAGAATTTGATTCCGACATCATGTCGATACTGGTAAATGATGCTATAGGCACAGGCCTTATGACAGATTTAGGATACAAACAATGAGCTGATATTAGTACATTAATGAGTGTTCCCGTTCCTTTGGAAACTGCAGTCGAAAAACTCAATACTACTCTCAGTTCTCTCGAGTTGGTTCTTGGGCTGGTTCAAATCGCTTCCGGCAGATACTGCGTGGAAATAAAATAAAAATTCTGGTTCAACATACATCAGTAATACACATGGATGTTTGCTGTGGCAACCAGCTAAATACTATTACGACCATAGAATTAGTCTACTAGTGTGATGATCCAGCCAATGTCAACAGGATAATGTGCCTACCACCAACAGGCAGGAGATAATACAGCACGCACCAATGTTAGATTAAAGAGGAGTAGTGTGAACAATGTATGTATTACTAGTAATCAATCAGTATCACTTATATAATGTTGGTGGGATCCGATGAGCAGATCTACCATCATGTAGTCTGTCTTCATTAATCATCATACACCATCGTAGTTAGATATAAAAGACATAATAAGTAATAAAGTGAAAGGAGCTGACATAGAACAAATCTCAATTGCAATAATCATAGATGACGATGTCGTGCGTAACGGTTGTGGAACCATCCACTATATTGTGTGCAATTGTTGCTGTAATGTATGAATACGCTTACTTATATTAACAGGACGCCAGAAACAATGTATTGTTAATGACGACGCTGGGTGACCCCAGTGGACGATTGCCAATGTGTCGGGCGGCAGATGCCTGATGTGTCGTATAAGCTAAGAAGGAAGTGGTACAAAGATATTCTTTATTATCAAAGAAGAAAAAAAGAGCAGGAAAAAAATACTAATCTAGAGTGGTGACTGCGTGAGCTTGCGCGAAAAAGAGTTGTGCGGGTAGTGATTTTGACAGTGTGATATTGATGATGCTCTAGTTGCCACCGCCAGGAAGCAATATTGCCTCGAGTCTCGCTTATGTCTGTGTCAGCAAAACAGGCCTGGAGAGTACCATTGATACGATACTTTGAGCATTTTTGCCGTCTGTCAAATTGCGGTAATATTTTTTTTAAGGATCGTAAATATAATTCTTCATATATTTACAAAGATCGCTAGGTGATGGAATTGGTAAGGGAAAGCGAAAGTATTCATGGTGCAGCACATATCGAACTGAGGAGGACGCGATTTATAAGAACAGGGGACTTTTTCATACATCCACATGAGCGCACACGACAAAACCTTCTCCATACCTCTAAGTCTTGAAATATCTTCATTTCGAACTACGTTTGTTTTGGAATACTATTAACAGTTGCACCAATGTTTTGCAGATAGCTTTGAATAATTTAGAGTATCAGAGAGTTTAACAAGCTTCGCTTTCATTCATCTGATGACTCCATGAAAACATAGCACGGTACAGTTGTTGCGTGTGTGCGTACAATGGCATCGTAGCTGCATTCAACGGCGTCAAAAGGCCTTACTATATATATTCTATGTACTTAATACAGAGAAGTATAAGAGGAAAGAGGAGATCCCAAAACGTGTGGGTGGCATATAGTAAAACCTCAAAAAAGAATGCATGGCACCATATATCTACATAGCATGTTTGATGACAATTTCTTTACTATGCCAGTAGCCCCGCTTATAATTACAAGTCAATACTGTCCCCAGAAAACCGTGCTACCGTTGAGATGTGAGCTCCTACTACTGCCCGCGAAGGAAAGTCATCGCGATCATTCGGTAATGAGCAATTATGAATAAGAAGAAAGCAAATAGCAGTTTGGATTCTCAGCATATGCAGCGACTTAAAGCATCCTATTTTCAAGCGATCATAACGAGCAACAACGATCATTATGCATACGCATCCCCTCTCGTTTAATTCTGAAGTAGCAGTAACACTATATGCACACGTAGTCTTATGCATATTGTCTAAGGTGTATCTTCCCCTTCTTCAGCATATCACAGCTAGTTAGTAATTTTGCGTTACATATGAGCTCCATTCTAGCTTGATTATCCGATGACAACAGAAAAGGAGGAAAGAAAGATTAGCATGGGATTGGACCGTCGTTTTACTACTGATAATAATTTTTAAATTGTGTGCCGCCCGAAGAAAGCAGAGTCATTAAAGTAGCACCAGTTCAAACAAAACAATATAATGATAACCACTGCAATATATTGCTGTACGCAAAATGAGGTAAAGCTCCAGTCTTTAGTATTTTTCACGATTCCCTGCCTTATTACATCGACTACTGCATCGAGTAAGGCTAACAAACGTTCTTATTTTAGAGCCGGTTTGACGCGAGCTTAGTACCACAGAAGGAGGTAAGCACAGTCATTGGTGGGTGGCAATGGCAATAGCACATTGCACGTATTGTCACGTACTACTAGTGATCTTTACATCATAGTAGCATATCATATGAGCACTTTCCTTAATTCCCCCTCCTCGTCCTGTGACATCAACCCTTATCTCGCTCTTCATATCCCTGCATAGTCGTTTCTTGCCTTTCCCAAGACTAAAAGTGTATGCTCTTCTTTATGCGTCAATAACACAGTACATGAATGCCAAATAACCGGTCAGGGCTTCGATAACAGTACGTTCATAGCTTTTGTTGAGTCCAATTCAACCTGTATTTTTGTCACAAGAAGCGTATGCAATTTACCAGCAATAGGTATAGCCATAGTCCACTAAACCCATCTTGCCATAACCTGTTTGTCCCTAAGCATACAGGAAATAGCTGTTTTATGTACTGCTACTGCTACTGGTGCTAACGCTACCGCCATCCATTCTATTTTCGTACCAATGCCGAAGAACGAGCGAAAATAATCAAAAGTATACTGTCACACCCTTCTCCTTTGCTCCCCTTTTTGTCCTTTCTCGTATCCAAGTGTTGAGATATTTAAGGGAGATAATGGTACTGAGTCTATAGTGCAGTGAAGCGGTGTGCCAAAAATCACACACGCCTTCTCCTGCTCGTCGCTCCCATGTTATTCACCATCAAAGTCAAAAAGAGAAGGGAGCGAAATATTGCGTAGTCATTGTTCTGCCTGGAATACAGCAAATCAGCGACACTATGATATGTCAATCAACCGCATTTCGAAAAACTTGTTAGTAAAACAGACACTGACAGATACAGTTGACGCCTTAAAATGTAGTAGACCTGTCTTCTGTGTTACGCTAAACTAAAACTGAGCCAGGCACCACATTCTCCTGACTCCGACTTCACAAAGCAAGCAGCAGTAAAGCTGCAGTGTGCAGGTTAAATAAGAAGCACGAGTTTCCCGTCTATTAACGAAAGGCCCTTTCATCTACCTTTTTTTTTGTTGGGTTCTTTTTCTCACTAGATCAAGATGCCATCCATACAAGTGACTCAGGCACTTGATATTTATACCAACGGTGTTAAAGCATGGTTTCCCGATGACGAAGCCGGCTGGGTCTCTGCTTCTTTGGTTTCCAAGGATGTCACTGACAGCCACGTCAAGATCGTTTTTAACAACGACGCGGACGAGTCTCGGGTAAAAAGAAAACCGCTGGACTTTGTCGATCATCACAATCTAGGGATTCCTCTACTCGATACTGAAGCGTTCTTTCTTGTTCTAGGAACATGTGTTTGAGGCAGCAGTAACAGAGTTGGAAAAGACGCGAGGCAGTAATTTGCCACCACTGAGAAATCCGCCCAAAATGGAGGATGCAGATGATTTGACGAATCTTAGCCATTTGAACGAGCCTTCAGGTAAAGTATAATAAAAACAGCTATAATTGGAGTGCGATGATTGTCTACAATATTAAAGGTTTAAAAAAATCCAACAACAGTGCTACACACTATCCGTACTCGATATGGTCAGAAACAAATCTACACATACTCCGGCATTGTTTTAATTGCTGCAAACCCTTTCGCTCGTGTACAGCTTTATGAACCAGACATCATCCAACAATACTCAGGACGCAGACGTGGAGAGTTGGAGCCACATCTCTTCGCTATTGCAGAAGATGCTTATAGATGCATGATCCGAGAAAGATCGAATCAAACCATCATTGTATCTGGAGAGAGGTACCGTTGTCATTGTTGGTGGTAGCTAAAATGTGTGTGGGATGGATAGGTTATTCAACCGTTTTGTGTCTGTTCCGATGTGAATATATAGTGGTGCTGGTAAAACGGTCAGCGCAAAGTATATTATGCGATACTTTGCCACAGCAGATGATAAGGAGACTGTTGGAAAGAAAGCGAAAGATGGCGCTGGTGCAATGACGGAGGTCGAGGAGCAGATCCTAGGTAAGAGGGAGAGAGAGAGAGAGTGTGTGTGTGCATGTATGTTTTAAACACGAGATTGACAGAGGAACTTATATGTAAATAATGCACATCTGCGTAGCCACCAACCCTATCATGGAAGCCTTTGGCAACGCTAAAACGACCAGAAACGACAACAGTTCTCGCTTTGGCAAATATATAGAGGTGACTATACATGGATCCATATATACTCGTCTTCTTATTAGCGGTATCTCGGATGGCTGTCCATATTGACGTTGTTAGCTGGTTCTTTACTTAGATCCAATTTGACAAGCAATGCAACATTGTCGGCGCCAAAATCCGCACATATCTTTTAGAACGTTCACGTCTTATTTTTCAACCGGAAATTGAACGTAACTATCACATTTTTTATCAGGTCAGTTCTTATACTTTTTTTCTCTCAAGCGTTGGTGAGGAGAATAAATAGGAGTAAGGGGAGTTTGTGACGATGCAGTGTAAGTAGTCAGTGTGCGTGTGCTAAATGCCCTATTTCAGTTTTGTGCAGGCGCATCTGCTGAAGAACGTCAGAAATACGACCTGCAAGAATGGTCCAACTTCCACTACCTCAAACAAGGCGGCACGGGCGATATCCCGGGTGTTGATGATGCTGCAGAACTTGACCTCACGAAAAAATCCTTGTCAATGGTCGGCATTTCAGAAGAGACCCAGCAACAGATATTCCGTCTTTTGGCTGCATTGCTTCACCTCGGTAATATTGAAATTGGCGGACGCACCGACGCTATGCTTTCCGAAGGCGACGCAGCCGTCACAATGGCAACCCAGTTACTCGGTATCAACGCTACAGAATTCAAAAAATGGATTGTTCGCAAGCAGATCAGCACCCGGTCCGAAAAAATCATGACCAATTTGAGTCCTCAGCAGGCTCAAGTGGTCCGTGATTCGATGGCGAAATATATCTACAGCAGCTTGTTCGATTGGCTTGTCGGGGTCGTGAACGAGAGTTTGGCTTGTGATGATGCCGATCGTGTGGCAACATTCATCGGTGTGCTCGATATTTATGGCTTCGAACATTTCAAAAAGAACTCTTTTGAACAGTTCTGTATCAACTATGCAAACGAAAAATTACAACAACAGTTCAACCAGCACGTCTTTAAGCTGGAGCAAGAGGTAATTTGGATGGAATGTAGAGTCCGCTTTACACTTATTAATATGATCGTTCTTAAAAGGAATATGTACGGGAAAACATCGACTGGACCTTTATTGATTTCAGCGACAACCAAAAATGTATTGAAATGATTGAAGCTAAAATGGGTATTCTCTCTCTGCTTGATGAAGTAAGTTAATCTTGCTAACTGATATGAGCATCATCCAAAAAATCAGCTATGGATAATATCCAACTTGAATCTATGACAACTGACTTCTTAATCTAGGAATCACGTTTGCCTTCGGGATCCGACCAAGGTTTCTGCAACAAACTTTACTCTACGTTTGGCACGCCAAGCTATCAAAGCTATTTCAAGAAGCCACGCTTCTCTAATAACGCCTTTACTGTCGTTCATTATGCTCATGACGTCCAATACGAAGCAGAGGGCTTTATGGAAAAGAATAAGGATACTGTGCCTGATGAACACCTTACACTTTTGCAAAATGCCCAGTTTGATTTCCTTGCTTCAATGATCAAGCGTGCTAATGCTGCGTCTTCTCCCAGCCCATCAAACAGTATCGTAAGTATGCGCTTATCTAGGCTTTATCATCCTTCGTTTGAGTTTATTTTTCTAAGCCTTCATAAATAGGGTGATTCTCCTGTCAAAAAGATTGGTGCCGCAAAAATGAATGCCCCAAAGAAACCAACTCTTGGTTCCATGTTCAAGGTAAAGTTTTCAACTCGGCTTATCGAGCGAATAGCTAGCACATCCACCTAACAAATCCCGTCTGTGTTTCTCTATCAGATTTCCTTGATCAACCTGATGGATACCATTGGGCAGACAAACGTACATTATATTCGCTGTATCAAACCTAACGAGGCAAAGGAAGCATGGATTTTCGAGCCAAACATGGTCCTTGCACAGCTCCGTGCATGTGGTGTGCTAGAAACTATCCGTATCAGTTGCGCTGGTTACCCTTCACGATGGACTTTTGAAGAATTTGCAGAACGGTAAGTGTGCTTACTTATAGAAGGTAGAGAAGAGAGAAACCATTCAAAACTCAAATGTGCATTTTTGTTCCTACTACCTCTATTTAGATACTATGCTTTGGTTGATGCCAAACATTGGTACCCCAAAAGTGAAAAGGATATTCGCACACTTTGCTCGACGGTTGTGGATACACACATACAAGACCCAGACAAGTATCAGATTGGTCTAACAAAGATCTTCTTTAGAGCAGGACAGGTAACAGCAACAGCAACAGCAACAAAAGCATACGTGTATGAGAATAAACAGATCGAAAGTTGCTACTCCCGATTTTGATCTCATTCCTCTCTTCTTTTTCTATAGCTTGCATACATGGAAAAACTTCGTACAGATCGTTGGACAGAAGTGGCCATTTTCTTACAAAAGAATTGTCGACGATTCATTGCTAGACGCCGATACCTGCGTGTGCTGAAAATGGTTACTCAGTTGCAGCAAGTCGCTCGAAGAAAGATCGGTCAGATCCAATTGGAAAATCTGCGGCGCGAAAAGGCAGCTACTACCATTCAAAAGTACTGGCGCTGCTATGCTGCTCGCAAGCGGTATCTGAAGCAGCGCGCTATCATTATCCAAATACAAGCAGGTAAAACATATATACATACATATATATATATATATATATATATATATATATATATATCGCACAAATGCATTCATGCGCGATAGTTGTGTAACCTGACTTACTAAATAATGCACATAGCATCAAGAGCATTGATTGCCAAGAAACGCTTCTCAATGATCCGTGAGCATAATGCAGCAACTCAAATTCAAAGAATTGTTCGCGGATGGTATGCGGTATTTTTTGTCACCTTGTTTATGAACTAATTGTCTCAAAAAAGGCAACGCTAACTGTTTTTGTACTGTCTCCTATACATATACAGGTCCGCACGCCGAAAGTATCAGGCACAGCGAAAGCACATCATCCGCATTCAAACTTGTATCCGTCGACGCAACGCTCGGAAACAGCTTGTTGTGATGCGTGCAGAAGCACGTTCAGTAAGCCACTTTAAGGAAGTCTCATACAAGCTCGAGACAAAGGTTGTTGAGCTGACGCAGAACCTTGCTCAACAAAAGGAGGACAAAGCCCGACTAAAGAGCAAAGCAACCGAACTTGAAACCCAAGTCAAATCATGGATCACCAAGTACGATAATTTGGACGACAAGGCCAAGGACCTCAACAGCGTAATTGATAAACCTGGACCGGATGGTGATCACTGGGCATCTCTCCAGCAACAACGTGACGGCTTGAAGAACGAATATGTCTCATCACTCAATAAGATCAAGACGCAGGATAAGGAGATTGCACGCCTCACCGAAGAACTTTCTCGTCAAAAGGAAGAGATTGCTCAGCTTAGAAAGGCGTCGCAAGAAACTGTTGAAAAGCCAATGGATGATGCTGACATGTCTGAGCTGAAAAATCAAATCGCAGCATTGAAGACACAGTTGTCGCAAACATTGGGTCACTCGCGTCGCCAGCAGCAGCAAAAGCAGCATCTCAATCAACAGCCACAACAAAAGACACCTTATCGTGGTCGCCGAGCAGCTGCAGCTATGCGACGCAAGAGCAGCACTACTGTAGAGCAACCCATTACAACTGCAGCAAACGCATCGTCTTGCCAGCCTGATGATCCGTTATATACCCTATTGCAAGATGAAGACCTCTTGCAAGTTGATGTATTGGATGGCCTTATCAGGACATTGGCAATTGTGCCTCCTGACGCATCAAACCCACCATCATCGAAGGATAAGACTTTCCCAGCTCGTGTTATTGGCTATTGTATTGTACAGATGTGGAAACGCGGCTACTTGGTAGAATCTGAGCAATGGCTCTTTGCTGTCATGGAAGCTATTGAGAAGAAGTGCTTGGTGAGTGTTTCTTCTTTTTTTTTGATAATGGCATGTTTTAATCGTTATACATACCATAATGGCGGGATATGCTAATAAGTATATGTTATGCTTGCTGAAACGAATTTCTAGGATCTTGTTGGTGAAGAAGCCAATGGAGGTTGTGCTTATTGGTTACTCAATGCTCATGAACTTCTTTCGGTTATCAGCGCATCCGAAAATGATCTTGAACGCAGCGCACGACAACTTGAGTCGGACAGCAGATGGCACGAGGTTGAAAAGATAATCGCATCCATCAAATACGAGCTACAATATGTCCAGGATAGCATTTATAATCACTGGGTCTCTGAGCTTAAAAAACAGCTACAACGCGTCGTTGTTCCAGCACTTGTCGAGAGTCAGTCGTTGCCTGGCTTTATCAGTAACAGCAGTAGTCTTATGCCCGGACAAGCAGCTCTTGTGACCATGGATGATTTATTGGCTGTTCTAGGCAAGGTGTATGAAATTATGCAAGGCTACGAGATCCATCCGTTAGTTGTGGAACAGGTTATGAATGAGCTTCTGAAGTATGTCGAAGTCACAGCATTCAATGATTTGATTATGCGACGTAACTTTAATTCGTGGAAACGAGGTAAGGAAGGAGTACATATGTAGAGTACAGTGAGATCATATATTGACGGGATTTAACGAATTCGTCCTTTAAAATTATTAGCCATGCAAATTCAACACAATATCACTGTACTGGAAGACTGGTGCAAGACGCGAAACATCACAGATGCAACACTGCAATTAGAGCACCTGTCACAAGCTACAAAGCTATTACAGCTGAAGAAAGCGACTGCCGATGATATCAAAATCATCTACGATGTTTGCTGGATCCTTTCACCTCCTCAAGTACACAAACTGGTACAAAGCTATAGCGTTGCCGAATATGAGGTATGCAAATGACCACCAAATGTGAAGAGGGGGGATGTTTTTTATATGCTTACATGAATGTAACGATGATTTTCCATAGGATCCAATCAATCATGATGTCATGCGCGCTGCAGCTTCTCGTATCACCGATAAAAAAGAAGTATTGTTAAGCTCCGTGCCAATAGATGAAAGTATTTATGAAGTACCTGCGCCATACCCAGAAGCTGCTGCAGATGCATATCTTCCTTCAAGTGTAAGAATACCCTCTTTCTCGTTTATTATCTCGTGCGCTAAATAGGTAATCAACAAAGCTGAAGAGACATATTAAACAATTTATCTCTATACCCTTTCCATTATAGCTCAAACTGGATCGACTACAGCAGTTCATGGAGGGAATTGCATCGTAAAAATATGCCTTAGTAGTAATTTAATCTCTTTCCCTCATTTCCCTTTTGCCTTTTTGTTATATCCGTCACCAAACTAAATTAAACCACATAATCCCCATCGTATCATAATGCAACGATATCAGGAGAATATTGATAAAACATTACATCGTTCATCTTCAGTCAAATTGTGGCACAGCTTAACTGGTACATACACCAGTGATTTACAAGGCCATCTTTGATTACAAATATAAGTAATGGTGTACTAATATATAGCGCTTTTATCTTCCCTGAAATGTTTTCTTCTTCATCTTTGCTGTTGTTCGTTATACATATCTGAGAGCTTTGAAACAATACAGACCGGATTCAATATCAGTCGATAGTAAGATCACATCGTCAAGCGGGCAGCTTGAAAGCAGTATGGAATGAAGAACGAGAAAAAAGGGAATTGACTAGATGATAGTATATTGCGGACCCTCTTCGTTCCTTCATTGTCGCTTGTGCTTTTATTTGCTGGCTTTGATTCTGATTTTGTCATATCACATCTCAACACGGTGTACATTTCTGAAGTTATAGATATATAATAGAAAATAGTGTACGCAAAGCTTGGCATACAGAATTTTCACTAGTGCGCATAATATGGGAGCCATTTCAAGAACCAAGAGCCTTATTTATTACCGAGCCAATCATTTGCACAGTTTTAAAAAGAACTGTAATGGGCGGTTTAGAAAAAAAGATATGCCTGGAAAGGCGTTAATAATGGCCAACGCAAAGCATCCACCACGCAAAAAGCTTCAAAGAAGCAGTGGAAGCCCGTAGATTCGATATAATATATCTAGCGCCGTATAGTTCATTTCTTAGTCCTATCGAAGGGGCTTAATTGAAATGAAGGCAGGTGTGAAATGTGGACTCTTAGCAAAAGTTGACTCTCTGACCCCGAAAGCATTAGTTCAGCCCACTCAATTACTCCAAGCGATTGCCAGGATTAAACAAGCGAAAAGTTTTTTTTTAAACCGGCGATGTGTCTTGGAGGAACCTATGCTGCAGTGCTCTAGTGTTTTTTGGTAGCTATCTCATATGTTGCTCATACTGTGTAACAAAATAAGTGATACAAAGAATCAAATGCACCATAACAAAACACACCAAATGCCCAATCAGAATCTTCAATATGCCAAAATAATTCATGCAACCCCTAGTTGTAAACAACCATCGTCGGCCATCTTGATTTTCATCACGCGCCAAGTTAAATCCCCCATCGGGCAAATGGGAATTTGTGTCACGCCAAGTTGAAAAGCAAGGTGCGCCAGACATTAGTAGTAGCTGTCGAGACTGATACGTGATTCTGATTTGATGGGTTCGCTTCTCAAGAAACAGTGGAAGGTTGGATAAGCATCTACCTAGCGCCAATTACAAATTTGTACAAAGCAGGGACCCTAAACCGGCTTTCCGGATTATAGACGAGTAGATGACATAATTATATGCCGGCCTTACAAAAAGCGATTGTTCTATGCTAGGAAACAACCGCCAATCGAGAAAAAACACATAATTCATGTCCGAGATATCGTCGGTAACAAGAATTGCATCTGATAATTCGGAGGTAAGCGCATTAACGACAGTGACACCATCAAATATTTGAAAACTCCTATTATTGTAAGGCACCATGACAATAAAATATAGCATAACAGCGAGTATGAAGCATCATGCTGTGCCTGAGTGAACCCTAAAAGCAGCCCGATACTTTCCGGCTATGTGTCTCGTGCTTGATCAAGTGGGGCACTTTTAGTAATATAATACAACGCACGATTTTTTTTGTACGGCAAATGAAAAGCATCTTGTCGTGAATATGCTCTTGTATACCGAGAATATGTAAAAATTAACGTTACAGACAATGCGAAAAAACCAGGTTGTGTGGCGATTGATCTGACCAATGACTGAATCACCAAACCAGGTTATCGGAACGGCTGTAATACGAGTTAAAAACCAGGTACACAAAAAATCGGTGGGGCGTCCGCGACTGCTATCAGATGGAGAACATTCGGGAATCGAAAACAAAATTTGCACTCATTAGGTAGTGGCACGTGTAACCTCTTCGGCGATCAACAACACAGTATACACTTCTAATGTCAGCAGAGTGGCACACAACAATGGCAACAGGCAGTAGCTCACCAGATCATTTTATCTCACTATACGAGTGCGCATGTCATCCGAAGAAGCACCTTCCTTCACAGTGCTGTATACCTCAGCAACAATACAAAGTCGCTTGCTAAACAAAGACCCGAACCGCGGCATTCAAAGTAAACCACACAAGCCATTTCTACAGATGGCATCTATCTCCGTTCCTCTCCCGATTTCTTTTGTTAGTTTTTGGATACAACGAAAACCAGATCTGTGTGGAAGACACAAGTAGCCTATATAACAAAAGGAAAGGGTGTGGCACCTACAAGGGAGGCCATTACCGTATTCAGTCAAAACTTCTGGTGTATCTCACCACAAACATCTAGATTCAAAGACCCAAAGGAGCTATTTCCGCGCCCGCGATGAGTGTGTATATGGTCATTGCGTATTGCTTGGTGGCGCGAGATGTGCTATTATGATCTGGCGTGGCATATACATAAGAGATATCGGCCTTTTGCGATTGCGGGCTTCTTGGTTGTACTTGAAGTGGAGAAAGGGACAAATGCGACACATAAAGCCGAGAAGTTGTGTAACAATCTGATAAAAAGATGTCGTGAAGCCGGATTCATATCTTACGATCCAGCCAAATCATTCATTGCTGGTTCAACTGTTGCGCCGAAACCCCGCTTACTCGTTATTCATGCTTTTAAAAACTTTTCGATCTCTTTTCTTTAACTTTTATTTTCTTTTTTCACTTGTCAACTTGCTGCACACACAACACTCCGGGCAATGAGCGAGAAAGAAAAAGAACAGCACGCTGACACCAAGGAGGAGATCCCTGAAGCACCAACTGCTGATGATATCTCAAAGCTTGTTGCACCGGGCGTGAAGAAGGCCGAGCTCGCCAAGTTGAACTCCAGCAAATGGAACATCTATGCTATTTTGGCTGGGTATGTGTACTATACATTACGACGCATAGAATTATTGTCGCCATGGTTGCTTCACAGAAAGGCTAACTCAATTGTAGTATCTTGCTGATCCGATGGGCATATTCATGGGAAGGTTTTTTGACCCAGGCTTTGACGGCACCTGTGACGAGTATCCTGAAATCCAACCACCTTCAAAGTATCCTCAAGACCGTTAGCAGCATTCTGCAGTCCATCATGTTTCCAACCTTCTCCAAACTTTCCGATCTAATTGGCAGAATTGAAGCATTCGTGTTAGCTCTTATTCTGTATATCATCTCATATATCGTACAAGCGAATTCCAACAATTATGGAACTTTTGTGGTAAGAAAAAAGATTATATAGAATGCGGACATGAAAAAATCACTGGATGGGTTGAGTGTGTATAAGCGATACCAGAAGAACTAACAGCTCGGTGCTCTGTGCTTTACTCTGTAACCACCCAGGGTGGCCAAATTCTGAATGCTTTTGGCGACACTGGCATTACGATCCTAATCCCTATCATCACTGGAGGTATACATAAGTTGATGCCCTTTTTGTTGCGGTGTTGTTGTCATAGCAGTTATTTGTTGTTACACAAAGAAGCTAATTCGACTTTTTTTTCAAAGACATGACCAATATCCGCAATCGAGGTTTCTACCATGGTGTTCTTCAGCTTCCAACCATCATCAACATGTTCTGCACTTCGTTGGCTGTCGATAGTCTTCTCTACACTGGTGAATACCCGGGACAATGGCGTTGGGGTTATGGCATGGTCCCTCTCATCATCTTCTTCTGCTCGCTTCCTATTTTGGTCGGACTTTGGTACCCCCAGATGAAGGCTCGGAAAAGTGGCAAGCTTGCAGAATACCGTGAAGAGCGTCGTCGCATCATTGGCAAGCGCACTTTCTGGCAGACACTCAAATTCTTTGGCACCGAGCTGGATTTTGTTGGATGCATCTTGCTCGTTGGTGGTCTGTGTATGATTCTTCTTCCCTTCCAACTGGAGTCAACGTGGGGCGGCTGGACCGATTGTAAGTATTTCTTTCCATACTATTAGAGTCATATATGCATTAGGGACAATACGACTAACAGAGCATGTAAATTGGTGAATTCAACTTGCGATTCTAGCACGTACATTGGGTTGTTTGATTGGCGGCTTCTTCACTTGGATTGCTTTGTTCTATTGGGAGCTCAAGGTCGCCACAAAACCAGTTTTGCCCGTCGGCAAATGGCCCAACAAGACTGCATTGCTTGGTGTTGCTGCTGTATCAGCTAACACCATTGGCTCGTCGACAAACGGTCTTTACCTCCGAACATATCTCCAAATCACTCGTAAAGTCACTGCTGGTAGAGCTGCACGGTTGGTTATCGGTTTCCCTGTTGCTGCCATCACTTTGCAGGCCTTCGTCGGTTATATGATGATGAGAACCCGTATCTGGCGCCCATACATGTGGACTGGTATTTGCATTTTGATTATCGCTCTTGGTCTCATGACCCAAGCCCGTCAACCCCACTCGTCGGACGTTTTCCTTGTTGTTTCCCAGGTCATTGCTGGCATTGGCACTGGTTTCATGGAAGTACCCTTTATTGTGGCCGTTCAATCGTCTGTCCCTCACGAAGGTATGTAAAGATTATGCAATCCACAGCACGCCCGAAAAATGCGGAGCAAGTTTACTAACTGCCAGATTATGTGGCCTTATGCTCTTAGATCTTGCAATGATCACCGCTTTCTACCAGATTGGTCAATCTATTACTAGCAGTGTTGGTTCTACTATCGCTGGCGCTATCTGGAACCAACTGCTGCCTCAAGAATTCGAAAAGCACATTCCCGGTGAATTCAACACCAAGGAAATTTTGGCCAGCATTACCTACGCTCAAAGTCTTCCCGATGATCAATATGCAGGTCTCCAGGAGGCATATGGAAATGTGCAACGCAAACAAACCATCATCCATCTCTGTATGGCTATCCTGACTCTGTTCTTGACTTTCCCTATGAAGTCGTTTGGCTTGCGAAACAGCAAGCGATTCGAAGAAGATCCCGACGATAGCAAACTGGATGAAGTCAGCACCAAGATCGGTAGCGAAAGTGAAATGGACAAGAAGATCGCTGACGACTCATCGCCTGAACACGATATCAAGCCCACTTACCTTCAGCGATTCAAGAAATACGTTCTTTCTTAAAAGATTAACATTATTATATCACACATGTATAAAACCTAAAAGAAAACACTACCCTTCCTGCATTATCCACCTCTACTATTACTTAAATTTACTTTACTATAATCCCATCTATTGATTCCTTCATACAATGAAACGTACCAGTACTTCATCATTAGCTTGCATGTATATAAATTTTGACGTCTGTGTTGCACTAGCCAATAAAAAAAGCAGCGGGTCCGTCCGTTACATGTTTTTCCTTTACATTCCACCTTCAAGTTGCTCAGATCCGCTGAATCGTTTCTTTTCCCGACATTTTTTTTATAATTTTACCATGTTTACTACTACAATAGCCCTTCGTCCTTTATACCTACTATCACTCTTCCTTTTCACATCATTATTGCTTTTACACTCGTCAGTTGTGGAAGCCGGAGATACCGTATGTAGACAGCTCAACCTTTTTCTTATCATGCGATGATAGTGTACAACTGTATTGATTCTTCTTTACAAAAGGACATGATGAGTGGCCCACCTCCACCGGGCGATGGAGAACCTCCCCGAGCACCACCGCACGTACCTTTACCTCCAGGAAAGCGATTCTGGATCTTTGATGACTTTCCACTATTGATGAATTGGACGCTCTTTTACGTTGGGTGTGGTCTCACAAGCTTTCTCTGGTTGACCGGTTATGCGCTGAGAAAATGGGAAGATTGCGTTGATCGGGACGATAAAAAGCCTGATAATGATGACCCAAGTGGAGAAGAAGCTGCCCTTATCCAAGATGCGTATCACAAAAGCCAGAGCAACCGCCGCGGCGATGGGACTTCTCCTCACTATGGCGCGGTTCAGCAAAGCACAAACTAACCCGGGAACTGATTGCGCTTGCACGTATGCACGTCCATAATATATGCACAAGGCTACATTAGATACACAGAATAAAAAAAAGCAGCTGATCAGAGCCTCCTCTCATCATCGGGTTTCGTTGTAATTTTTTTCCGTGTGCAACTCTTTGTTTCTCATTATGAACTCAGTCTTGTTATCCGATCCGAAAAGAGTTACTGTCTTGTGTCTTGTGCTTACGGGTGGGGAGGGGAGAAAATATTAAAGTTATCTGATGGCGGTGTGTGCTTTTTGTGAATAATAGATCTGACGAGCTATCCGGGAGTTCACCACCGCACATGAAACCAGAAAATAACCAAAAAACAAAGTCTCACGAGCTTGCAGGCATGGCGGGGAATTGTCGGTATTACCGCAAAAAGGATGACAACAATGGCAGTTCTTCTGTTTTTTAACTTCTTTGCTCTTTACTTTTCCCCTTTCCTTAACAAAGACACGGCTTGCACACACAAACAAACATCAGACATACAGACACACAGGACCCTGCATACAAAATATGCCAAGCGAGCTCCACCCATTCACAGACTTTCACAAGGCTGGTTACTTGTATTTACTCTGCTGCTGGGCAGCATTTCTTTCCTACTGCGTGCTCTATCAGACCGACCAGTTCATAAGAATATGGGTTCGGCGACGATCCCGAAGACGAAATCGATATCGCAAACGGCGCAAATTGCTGGTCGATGATGTTGGCCGTGATGGCGACAAAGACGACGACAGCGACGACGACGACGACGATAAAATCATCACGCCTCTACAAATTATCAACGATTTCCTTCGACCCTTGGAATACACCGTAACGATACCCTATGTCGCAACCATGATCTCTTTAAAACATCTTATTGGCATGACCCTCTTCTCCATCATCAACGTTATCTTTTGCTACTTTGCCCCGTTCAAGCTCCACCCCGAAGTCAAGGAATACGAGTGGCCGATCGCCGGGATTATAGATCGTCGAGGTGCCTATGTCTGTATGGCCAACTGGAGCTTTGCCATCGCACTTGGAACTCGAAACTCGATCATCACCAGTATGTGCGGCATGACATTTGAGCAGCTTATTCCTTTCCATCGCTGGGTTGCTCGTGTCGGTCTTGCCGAAACGTTCTTCCATATCGTGTATCGATGGTAACAAATTAGGGCTATTCAAACGACTTGTGATATTTTGTAGCTAATGAGCAACGTTTTGATCGTACTGATATCTTCTTTACCCTTCTTAGGTGGGAAGGTGCCGCAGCCACAGGGAAATGGTACGATTCCTTTATGTTCAATGAAGAATACTTCTCTGGGTCCGTCAGCACTGTTGGCTATATGATTCTCTTTTTTACGTCATTCAACTATATCCGACGCAACTATTTCCGCACATTTTACTACTCGCATCTGCTCGGATTTGTCGTTGGCACTGCTGGCGCCATGTGGCATGAGTGGTCATGTATATACTTCTTTTATCCAACCTGCATCCTATGGGTCTTGGACCGCGCGCTGCGGTCATACAAGTCGTGGTGTGAGCCAATCGAATTGATCGACATCAAACAGCACAACGAAAAGGTCGTACACGCCAGATTCTCATATGCTCCGCTCAAATCTTTCCGGCCAGGCCAGTACTTTTTCACGGCGTTCCTGACTGGCAGCAAAGAAGATGACAACACAAGAGGATGGCAAGGCTGGCTACAGCAGCGTTTTGATTGGTACCCCATGACCGTGTCTGATGTCTATAATCGAGACATCGCCGGATCCCAGGAACGCGCTGCATCTATACATATAAAGACCCTTGGTGACGGTACACGACAACTCATGGAAAACGTTAGAGACGAACCAAAGAAAGTCGATCTCCGAGTTGACGGACCCTATGGCCCGCGTTTACATTATATCGATTACAAGGCCGTAGCACTGTTTGCTCTGGGCATTGGTATCACACCAGCTTTGACGGTACTTAAAGACTGCATCGAACGCCCTGATCATCAGTCACGGGTACGCCGAGTATTTCTCATTTGGTCAGCAATCAATGCTGGTAGGTCCATCCACTATCTCTTTCGTTTTTACTGCTATTTCTGTGTATATTAAATCTAATTACGTATTTAACCCGTGAACATTTTTCGTATATTTTATATTAGACGAAGTGCAACCCTTTGTCGACTATATCTCGCATTGTAGAGCATACCCGTCATCTGTACAACTGAACGTGACCATTCATCTGACACGCGAACAAGATGATGCCAAGTGTGCGCAGCTCGCCGAGGCTCTGGATTGCAAAGTCGTTCAAGGCAAACGACCGAATATCCCCGTATGCTTGGATCGAATTGCCAATATCGTTGGTCATCGTAATGTGTGGGTCCACACCTGTGGCTCCGTTCCGTTCATGACCACTATCATTAACGAAGCTACTAGACACAAGTTTGATTTCCATCACGAAACATTTGAATTTTAGAAATGCTATATTGCTATCTTTATACTTATTCGTCCTTTTACATAGTTTTCATATCATAACATCGCCCTTTCTACGATGTTTACATATTCTTTGATCATCCTTTCTCATATACCGCATTCTTTGTATTGCTTTTGTTATTCATATGCTATTTTACCAGTCATTTTCTGCACCATAATTCTCAATAAACATTTAATCTCATCTTCACATCTCTACACTGAGCATAAGTGAAGTAGCGCTCCTCGGTAATCTCATATTCATCTTTCTAATGCCCTTTGAATATTGAAGAAAGAATTGCAAAGGAGAGAGACGTAGAGTTGATGAGGACCCGAGAAAAAGATGGAAAAGTACTAGATAATCAATCGTAAACAGAAACTACGACACTTATTGTATCCCGCCGCATCTACAAATGCTTCACAGCAATAGTGTAATGTGAGCGTCGTCGCCTATTTCATAATATGACGCGTTATGCTTATTTTCACAGCTGGTAATATTACATCTCGCTGTAATCACTTATCGCGGAGCACACCATTTCCTCAGAAATGGATACAACGGTTTGACAAAACAAAGCGCGGATCTGAGCCAGCTTTGCGTAATCGAGCAACGAGCATGTCTTTTCTGTGTTCGCGGTCAATATACGTTTGCGGTACTCTTTTAGGCCAATCCGGTCAGCTACATTAACAGCTTGTTGCTTCGCCTTTCAACGCCACCGTCACTCACCTCTTCTTTTGTTCTTCCTCGCTCGAGAACTTGCATCCCTTGGTGTCCATTAAAGTGCTTAGGCCTGCACTCCAAGCACCTTCGCACCGCTCGCTTTTGCTTTTGCTGCATTGTCGACTGGTTTAAGCATGTTTCGCAGGCCTTTTGACTATAATGTAACCCTGTAGCGCAACTGGATTTTTTGCTGTCCCGGACGCTCTCAAGATCGGCTTTCTTAAACTCCAAAGATGTCACCATTTCCTTGTACACAAAACGTGAGGATGACAACATAGAGGGACTACCACTCATCACGCAGCAACAGTAGCCGCGACGTGTACGGCTGTGGATGGATGGCATGACTGGAACTCGAAACACGCAGTGCGATTGGGGAAAGCCTTTTTCTACAGGTACACATCATGCTGTGCATTCAAAAATCCATCAATCATACTAATGATCGATGAATGCTCCGGTAAAGTAGGCTACTTTAGATATGAACGAGCTGATTTAGTCGTTGCACCAGCAGTATATATAGCTGTAGCGGAACAGTCCATAGATTGCGCATCACTCTATATTGGTGAGCCATGCATGCCCTTGCTGGTGAGAGAATGTAACACGTGGCCTATTAGATAGTAGCTACACGCGAATAAGAGAGTAAAAATAACGCGTTAGGCCATCACTTCTCATAGGTGAAGGCATACATACCCCTACGTAAAGAGTCCGGGAGGGAGACACAGCAAGAGTTGGTGGTACTCTACCATGTAATGAACAAAAGAAAGCCATACCAGTAATTTCAACCTTGCCAGGCCTCCCCTCTCGCTTATTTAGCCCTTTTGCAGTAATACTTATGCTATTGAGTTGGCTGCCGAGAGCAGACAGTGCTACTACACTGGCAGTATTATGCTTGTTGCTTAAAGTTACGACTGACATGTTCAAGATACAAAACACACATGAGCAGTTGAAAGTGTGGTGATTATATATGCCATGTCAGTTTTCCAGATTGGGGCTGGCCAGCTGACCTTTTGATTTGATGGTCAATGCAAGAAAAACATTTTTTTTTTCTTGGTAGATACATAAGCCCTTTCTCTTTCTCCGACATACAACCAACTAATGAACAAAGATCAACAGAATCAAGCCCCTCGAGGCCTTCTGGCCATGTTTGGTGGCTCGATCCCGAAAAAGCTAGAGTCTACAATAACAAAAACGTCAACGATCAATGGCGATGGCAACAAAAAGACCGAGATCAGTACCGGAGGCGGCGCAATGAAACGATCGTCCACACGAAAAGAAAGACGATCATTGGCTGCGAAAGCACAACAGCCTGGACGGACCGTTACTGTTTCAACGAGCCCTGCCGAGATCAAGCAGCAGGCTAGCTCTATAATGAATGACGACGACGATGTCACCATGGGTGGCACTGGAAAGAAGAAACAGAAAAAGCGCTTGTGAGTGTACTTGAACATATGCATCATTATTTTGACAGGTTCCAGAAGAGAAGTATGTGTGCTTATTAACGATACGTGGTTTGTTTTTCTGAAAAAAAAGCTCGCCGTATAATAGCAGGCAGAGAGCACAGCACGTTCAGATAAAGCAGTCAAATAAGCCAATTGAGAAAATTGACATTTTGGTAAAAGTCATATCTTGCAATAATGACACCCCCTTCTCCGTGGCGTAGACAAACTAATTAGAGCGACGATGATTAGGTTGCCGGATTCGTTCCGGGCTCAGAAAACAACGTTGTCCCTTATCTTCAGCAGAAATCCAAGAAGGAATGGCTACCGTTAGATGTCCAGTTTGATCAGGGACAGATGTTGCTCAGTGTGGATGGCCCTGTGATCGCACATGCCATCACCCGCTTGAACGGATACATTTTTGGCACACAACCGGTAAACAAGCTTCCTTGTCTAAACTGCATATATGGACGGCGTACTTACTCAAAAATGATGTCATTCGATGTATAAATAGCTGCAAATCCGTCTTTTCAATCAAACATCCGATGTCTTTGGCAACGCAGCAGCCAAAGCAAATACACCAAAGACAACCACCACAATTGATACCTTGCGTGAATTTTTACGCTCCCGGTGGAATGCCGAAGGAAACTACTTGAACTTGGACGATATGGCCTCAGATCCTACTCTGAAAAAGGCACAGATACGACCTCCCGGCGCCAATAACGCATCTGCTACCGTGGGTCCTGCATTGATGAAATTAGCAGGAGAAATGTTTGAAAACGTCGTATCTATTTCGTTTGCCAAAAACCGGTTTCGAAATGTCCAGCAGATTTCGACCTTAACGCAGTTTCTTCCAAGTATCCAGAACCTGTCGCTCGAGGATAATGTGATTACGTCGTTTTCCGGTTTGGATGCTATATGTGGGGCAGGCAAACTCAAGCATCTGCGAGAAATCATTCTGCGTGGCAATCCGGTTCGGGAGTCGGAATATAAGCAACGTGGCGATGGCCGTGGCTACATAAGGTACATTCCCAGAGTGAGTCAAGTTGTTAATGGAGCAAAAAAAGGTTAATTAGGGATATTGGCCTTTACTTTATATAGAAATGCCGTAAAGCAGTTCCCATCCTTGGTGTTACTGGACGGGGTACCGATTTCGCTGTCTGACGAAGAAAGAGAATTGATCCAAAAGACACGTAGAGTGCTTCCTCTTGCATCGATCCCATACTTTTTTGACAACCAAGACAGCCAAAAAGCTGCCTACGATTTCTTGACGCGGTAAGCAGTTTGACGGGAAGGCGGCAAAGAAGAATGACTGACAAAGAGGGAATAGGTTTCTGCAGTTGTTTGACACAGACCGGGCGGCGCTCGTGGCGATCTATGACCAAGCGGCCACGTTCTCGGTCAGCACATTATTAAAACTGCGCAGTGTGAAGAAGGCCCGAGGGCGCCAAAAGCAGCGGCAGATGGAAGACGACGATGCCAAAATTAGTTGGACTGACGTGAACAGGAATCTAGCGAAAAAATCGAGTGTGTATTATCTAAGGCTAGCAGCTGAGCGAGAGTGGTTTAGTGCGAGTACTTGTGCTCTGTGCAGATCATACTAACAGAGAGTCGGTAATCGACCTTATTTAGAGGGTTCCACGAAGCACTTGTATTCTGGGCCTGAAATGATCGGCACGGTGCTGCAAAAGCTACCAACGACCATCCACGATCTGTCTCAGCCAAAGGACTTTGTGGTGGATGCGTTCCAGCAGCGTCTGGGGCAGCATGGGGTGCTACAGGTGGCGTTGTATGGAGAATTCAAAGAAGGTACCAGCAAGAGCAAGGGGAAGGAAGGGATCAGGAAGCGATTTTCCATAATGTCATTTCTGACACGCGCTATTATATATTTTTGTGTAGCCGACAATCCGTTGCCGTACTCGTTCGACCGCACATTCCTCCTCCTGCCAGCATTGCCAGGGTCACCGTAAGTGTTCTTGTTGCTATTGCTCTCAATTAGGTCTACTCAATAATAACATATTGTCTACATATTACAGTGCAGCAGCGGTTGGAAGTCCCTATACCGTGCTGTCGGATATGCTGTATGTGCGCGACTACTGCTCAATAGCTAGCCGGATGGGATCAGAATAAGCATTTCTTCATTTAAAGATGCATATCGCGCATTGCTGCAATTAGAATAGCCTATTTCCCCCTTGTGCGATGTGATATGTTCTGTGTTGCGGCGAACCAAAAAAGAAAGTTTATCAGCCGTTTGTCAACAATGTAATAAAAGCAGTAATAATAGCAATAGCAATAGCAATAATAGTGTTGATAAGTTAACTCATTTGCGAGTGGTGGCCGCGACCAAATCAAAGAAAAGAATTCATTTAACAGCAAATAATGGGGTGCGACGGAGTAAAGAACACCAATTGCCAATTAACTCTACGCTCAGTCGAGAATATTGGATCGGGGGGGGCTTGCTTCTATGGAAGACGACGGTGGCAGGTGGAGGACAAGCGAAAAGAGGAAGGACACATATTTGATCCAATAAAAAACATATCAAGTCGCCATTCGATACACGGGCTCTGGAGGAGCAGAGGAGAGCACCTTTCAAGATCTCTGATCTCAAGAGCCATGATGCTACTACCACCACCCACTCCATAGAGAGCCCGCCACAAGCAGCATTTGTTAGCAGGAAAAGAGCGACGCGCGCGAAAGTGGAGGCTCGTCCCCTCAAGAGAAAGTGAGTGCATGCACGATGCAGAATGTTGGGGAGAAGAAAGCATATGCGCCAGGCAGCCCAAATAGTTCATTTAAGTGCGTAACCAGCAGTTTACGGGTATGGTGGCACATGGCCCCATGGAACCCGCAATAATGCATTCAATATAGAGTAGATCGATTGTAATAATAATAAATCCCATTTCCTTTCTATCTCTGCCCCCCTTTTTCACTTCTTTCTTCCCTCTTTTTCTCTTTCTCGCTTCCATTCTTCTTCATCACTCGCTTCTCTTTCCCTTTCTTTCTTTCTTTCTTTCTTTCAAAACCCCGTTTTCTTACGAACACCACCACCCCCCCCCGGGAAAGCTCCTGAACAAAACCTACTAGAACAACGCGACATGAAAATCAGGACCCTCACCATTGGCGAATACGGCTCACCGCCGGCCCCCTTTTGTCTCTATCTCTTTCCAACACCATTGACACCTCCGCTCACCTCGCCGCCCTTTTCTAGCGACAAGGATGCCCATTTCCACTTTCTATGTCTCGAGGATCTCGACGCGCTGTTTTTCAGTGCCAATGACAACAACACCAGCAGAAGCAGTAAACAGCTATTAGCGACCATGTATGAGCAGCACCCGGCCTGGTTCTGCAAGGATCAGTCCACCGGACGCTCCTACTTGATGACTCAAGCAGTCGCAACCATAGCAAACAGCCTCAGCATCCATACACTTGTCACTCTGTGCCAACTGACAGAGGAGGAGTTATTGAATGGCAAAGCATCCGAGTTATTACGCCATCATGCAAAGTTACGTACGTCAGCTGCGCCGACATCATGGTCAACAACCTCATCCACTTCTGCTGCTGCTGCTATTACTCATCAAGAACAAGAATTCGTGCCCACACGGCTGCTGGACGGCCGCGACCGCTTCCAACCAACAGTTGCAGCAATAGCAGAAACAGATTCAGAAGCAACAGCGACTATCAAACAAGAGCCACAGTCCCCCGTGATTCACCTGTCTCCACCATCAGGCGAAAGCATCCCATACGATCCTTGTCGCGACGATGTGGCAGATAATAGGTAAGGAGAGCAACAAGAAAACCCTTTTTATTCCTCAATTTGAACATAAAGGATCGCCATATAAAAATAAAAAGGGGGGTTTCGTGGTGCTGGTGTATATCGACCGTGGAGCAAGCGAGTGAGCGAGAGGGGATAATATATATTTCTTTGTGCATCATTGAAAACTCATGGTCTGTGTCACTCTTGTCCTTTTTTAAACCAGGAACCGCCTGTCATCTATGCCACGTTCTCCGCCGCAAGATGTCCATACGACAATGACAGATCCTCATTTGCAGCTTCCTAAACCCTCGTCGCTCCTTTTAAAACGCTCCGCCGGCCAGCAGCATCACAAGGCTCCCACCAATCTCACCATTTTCACCCCGTCCTATGCTCATAATGGAGAAGCTACAAGCATTCGTTCAGCGCCTTTGCATCCACGTGCTTCAAAGCAAAACGGCGGATTGCTGCAACAACGTCATCAGCAACACACTCAGCATCGTGTGAGCAAGGTTGTCAGTAGTAGTAGCAGCAGCAATAACAACAACAACACTCCCACTAGCATTCTCAAGAAACGAGCACAACCGCCTGCCACGGCAGCGCCCTGGCAACGGCAAGCTCCCCAGACCGAGTTTCCTAGTCCACCCATCGTTCCTTCGCAACAACGGTGTCCTCCTCAGTATTTACGCACGGCAACGTTCCCCAAGACGCCAATAACCAATCCGCCTCACCTCCACAGCCTCCACCAGCAACACAGCCAACATCAACAACAGCAGCATTCGCATTATCAACAGCAACAGCGTCCCATGACTGCTGCTATTATGCCTGTGCCAGCCTCCACGACGTCTGCTTTGTCCAAGAAGCAACAATTCTTGCAGCCGTTTGAGTTGCTCTATGACAATATCGAGCAAACTAGACAGATCAAATCAACACTAGACGATCAAATCCGTCGCAGCTCGTCGTTGATTCAGACATTACAGTCGTCAAGTTCCATGGTTGAAGCGTTGGTTCGAAAAAATGTGCGTGAAGCTATGCAGCAACAATTGCAAGTATACAGCAACCGTGTTGAATGGCTCGAAAAGCGTATGCTTTCTTCTTCTTCCGCCAACAGACCCAACAGAAGAACTAGCGGAAGTCAAAGTAGCAGCAGTAACGGTGATCATGATGTGGACTCAACAACTTCTTCTTCTTCTTCACCTCCGTCGTCTCAAGTGGGTCGTGTATTATCAGAACTAGTGGATCGTCTTGATCGACTGGAAACCAAGATGGATACTCGAAGCAATTGATAATGGTGATGATGATGACACAATACCATACTTGTTTAATAGCAACCTAAAAAGTCACCCTTTCTTTTGTTTTACACATCATTTGTAATACTCCTTATACCCCCTCTCCAATTTCTCACCTTCGTAAACACTTCTCTCACGCACAATTTCTTTTTTTACACTATTACCCTTAATAATGATACTATTCGAACTGCTACTACCTTACTACTATCTTTACTATTTACCACTACTACTAAATCACCATCGCCATCATCTCTTACTATTTGCTACTATATCACCAGTAGTAGAAATAAAAGCGAGACATGCTGATCTTGTTCAATACTATCCAATTCTTTTGCGGGGGTGAAATGATCTATTTTCTCCTAGTCATGTATAATCTTTTTCTCTCAGAACCATACATCATCCTCCTTTAAAAATAATATTAAACATTTTTTAGTCTCATTTCGTAATGTCGATACATTTCATGTAAAAGCCAACACGACTTTATACCTCACATGGTGGCGGTGGTCCACCATACTCCAACGCCTCTTGCTCGCGTCGCAGCTCTTCTATTTCTTCGTTCTGGTCTTGCTCGTGCTCCACAAATTCAGCAATACCCCAACCGGCCAAACCCGCTGCGGCCGCGCCAGCTGCAATTTTCATGCCAGTCGACATGCCAGACTTTTTCTGTGGCTCGCTTGGTTGCAGTTGTTGTTGTTGTTGTTGTTGACCTGGATAATTGCCACCAGGAGGTAGATATTGCTGTTGACCGGGATAGCCACCTTGCTGAGCTGGTTGTGATGGTGGTTGATACCCTTGTGGTAGTCGGTAGTATCCTCGATCACCACCTTGTTGCGGTAGGTATCCTTGTTGCTGAGGTGGGTATCCTTGTGGTGGAGGATATCCTTGTGCTTGTAGTGGGTAGCCTTGTTGTTGAGGAGGATACCCCGGAGAAGGTGCGCCATACTGGCCGCCTTGGGACGGCGGTGGTGGTAGTGGAGGATAATAACCTTGCTGCTGCTGTTGCTGTGGTGGAGGAGGAGGTGGGTAATAGCCTCGTTGTTGACTACCACTTTCCTGATAAGGAGGGGGAGGAAGCTTCATTCGAGGATCCTCCCACGTAGTCGAGTTGTTGCTGAGATCCACGTAATAACTAGAGGAATGATAGCAGCGTTGCACTTAGCCTATTAAGCGAGCGAGCATTTGCTGATTTTTGACTCGAAAAGTGGATAAAATACATACGGCCGACCATCTGGTGCGCGACGCTCTTCCCAGCCTGTACAATGTGGAATGAAGACATTTTAAATTAAGTATATAACACACGATGGCTGTTGGTTATAAGCAAACAACCATATTACCGAAATCTACATACCCTGTGGTAGTGGTGCAGACATGACTTATTTTTTCAAGGAAGCAGTATGAGAAAGAGAGATAATTAATCTTTATAGGGTTGGGTTTGATACGGGCTGAAGCTTATTTATGCACAGACATTTTATCTGCGGTGATGGATAATGACGATTAAGGTGCGGGTAAAAAAAATCCCACATGCACAAAAAGCTTCCTAAAAATAAAGCGGCCATGTGCTTATGAGTCTCAAGCGCAAATTCGGTTTGAGCGATTACTGTTTGTTGTTTTGTGGAAAAACAGCATTAGCTGTTGACCTGTTATATCGATAGGGCTCGACATAAATACAGGGCCAAGCAAAACCAGAAAAGGGTCGGTGATGAAAAGGTCTTGGCAATAATTTTCCATAAATGATGAATTTCTTCACAGCGGGAACAGAAGCATTCTTGCACGTGCCTTTCAAAGACGCGTCATGTTGAGCTAGTGTTTGACACCGGTTCCAACTCACTCCTACTATTTCTAATCTTAAAGCTGTGCTCGTTTACCGGTCTACAAAAGGAGGAAGGTTAGGTGGATGTACGCCGCTATGTAAATTTAGTATAGATTGACGTTGAATTTCCCAACCAAGGTAATGCTAGCTCAGGTAACGGCGATGCTAACTCAGACATCAAAAATCAGTAATCCTTAACGGGGGTGATTGCTTTAGCAAGATAGAGAAATGATTTAATGCTGATTGTATCGAAGGGTTGGAACCAGCGAGAATCGTTGCATGAACCTTATGGCAAGACTTCTCTCATTCCTACTTCTCTTTGCGATTAAGTTGGCAGATCTTGTATTTCTTTTATACAATTCTTCCTATACATATTTCAAGCATTATGTTATGTGATTGAATAAAGATCGTTAACAACATCTCACATATTCTGCATTGATATTGATATACAATATACAATATGCACAATATACCAGGCGTTCAGCATGATGAATCTTGTTTGCTGCTATCACAGATACTTATCAGTAACGTTTTACTCCACGTGAGACATAAAGTATTTAGTCCAGCTACAATTAACCAGATTCCAGATTGCACTAACACTAGCCAGCAATATACACTGCTATTGCTGCCATTCTGCGCTTATAATTTCCCCTCTTGCTCTCCTCCAACATACAATGGAACAAAAGTCACATGTATCTTAGAACAAACATTGTGTGCTTTTTTTAATAGGTATGCAATATTCTTTGTGTACTATGTGTGGGTTAGACAGTATATAATTTTTGCTCAACACGTTATTAAGGGTTGCTGATTTTGGACTTAGAACCATCCTTCGTCTTGCTCCTCCTATGTACAACATCACACCATGAATAAATATACAGACCAATAAGCCGAGCATATGGTAAGCCGAATATGAATAACAAATACAACGTACCGTAGTAACTTCACCGTCTTGATCAATGTGGGTAACCGTCACATCGTCGCCGAAGAATCCTACAACAGAAATGTCAGTCAGGGCGTTGGTGCGCCTCTCCTCCTTTTTATTATTATTTACCTTCTTCCCGTTCGATAATAGTGGTCTCGCCGTTCTCATCTATAAGCAATAAATGCAGCATCGTAGATATGGATCAGCACTCTTATCTTCCCGAGTTTAGTAGGCCCACTCTCCCCACCGATTTTCCTTTCTCTGTATCCGTCTGTAATTATAACCCTCCCCTAGCTTCCGTTCTTACTTTGCTGGATGATCGTTTGATCTCCATCCTCATTGTTGATAATGGTTGTGTTGTTGCCATCATCATAGTCAGAAGGTGGTGGATACGAGTCGGCAGGTGGATATGAGTCGGCAGGTGGGTACGATTCCGGCTCGGGTGGAGGCTGCTGGTAGTATTCTTGTTCTGGGTAACAGTGACAACATCATTAGCGAAGAAAAACGCCAAAACCGTTTTCCCAATTGGGAAAAAAAGGTTCAAGGAGGGGAAGTCCCGGATATAAACAAAGGAGCATGTGTGTGAATGAAAACTAGGTTATCTATTTTGTTTTGAGGAACTTACGTTGTTGCTGGTGCTCAAGCTGCTCTTGTTGTCGCTCCAACTCCTCGTTTTGGCGCTGCAGCTCCTCAAGTTGATCACTTTGCTCTTGCTCGTGGTTGACGAGTTCAGCGATACCGTAACCTGCCAGACCAGCGGCAGCGGCACCGGCTGCGACTTTCATGCCAGTAGACATGCCTCCAGACTTGTGTTGCTGCTGTTGCTGGCCAGGATAGCTGCCCTGCTGTGGAGGCGGCCGGTACTGACCACCTTGCGGAGGATAGCCCTGGTAGCCACGCTGCTGTTGGCCGGGGTAGCTACCTTGCGGCGGCTGCGGCGGATAACCACCTTGTTGGGGAGGGTAGCCCTGTTGCGGTGGGTAGCCTTGATATCCTCCTTGAGGTGGATATCCTCCCTGCTGTGGTGGGTATCCTCCCTGTTGTGGCGGATAACCTTGCTGTGGTGGGTAGCCCTGTTGCGGTGGATAACCGCCTTGCTGTTGTGGTGGCGGGTATCCGCGTTGCTGTTGTTGTTGAGGAGGGTAACCGGGTGGTGGTGGAGGAGCTCCTCCAAATTTCGCTCGTGGATCCTCCCACGTAGTGGTGTGATTGTTATGATCGATATAGTAGCTTCAAGCAAACATAAAATACGAAAATAAGCAAAAAGGAAACGTATACAGCTTTCACCCCACCTCTGCTTGCTACCCTTCTGTTCTCTTTCCTATTAACCACACATATCCGGTCCTTAAGTTCGGAGATACTTACTACCGACCATCGGGAGCTTGACGGGCTTCCCATCCTATGTTAAACGAATGACCGTTATACAGTCAGTGAACAAGAACGACTGGCCTACCAGCAGCGACAACAGCAACGTGTGCTCTTTTTTCTTGGTGCAAGACATACCTTGAGGCAGCGGAGCAGACATTTTTTTTGCAGCAGGGGAAAAAGGTGTTTGAAAATAGAACCACAATCTTTTCAATTCAATATACGGGGTAATACATCCACTGGCGTTCTTTAAATGGAAACCCGTCCACACGCAGAAATAGAGTGGCCAACATTTACCCGCTTCTTTTCTTCTCTGTGCCCCCCTTTAAGCTTTCGGAGCATGACACGCCCTTCTGTGCGCTATAGTAACGTAGCACGCCACGCCAGTCCCAGCCCAATTTACCAACATCATGCCTTCTTGCTCTCTAATGGGTATAAGTCAAAACCTATATTATGAGCTGTGCGGCTTAAGAAGGGGGTGAGGTAGACAAAGCAAAAGTGCAAACATGTCATGCGCAAGACAGCAAAGGTGGAAACCTCCTTCTTATGATATATCGCAAAAAGGGACGCGATAGTTGCGGTCTATAAGAACTCATGATCTTATTTGTGCTAATCACTGTAGCCGGCGGATAATTCAAGTGCTACTAATAAGTAGCCACGGAGGTGGAGTCTGCAATTTACAATAATCGGGTTAACAAAAAACACCTTGCCCCGTTTTGCCGTACTATGTATTAGTTTTATTCTTAGCCACTGCCGTCATTACAGACCGGACAACGACAGCAGCAAGCCATTCTTTATCTTATAAAAAGTAGCTTGTCATTGTTTCTTTAAAGCAAGTGTGTGTGTGTTAATCATCGCTTTTATCGTACAAAAGCTGATCATGCCGCCAGTGGTCACGACAGCATGAGAGACAAAAGGTCTGGTATATAGGCAAATTGCAACTAACAAGAAAAGACGGCGTTCAAGCTAACGGCAAATCACAACAAATAGATGGTTCGCAGTTTTACAAAAAATGATCATTCATTGTTTGTTTACACTAGTTATATTAAATTATACTAATAACTTCTTTCTAAGCAAGTCATCGTGGTGATGGTAAAGACTGTGCTGAAAATCAGGACGCCTCCTCTTCTACAATGACTAACCAACCAGTTCTCCAATAATGGACTGTGGCGTGATGACGCGTTTCAATATGTGCTTAATAACTCACGCTGTTGTACACTTTGTAAGCAATTAGAAGGATCACTCACGAGATAGGAACAAAATACCAACTCTGCTGTAGTGTGCAAACACGAATGAATGCCATTTTATGGCTGCTGGCGGAGATAGCAACGATGTTTACAAAACAGACGAAGATAAAAAGCCATTCACATCATGTGTGTATGTGAGACATGTGCTACTGCTAGAAAACGAGAAGATGACCATTGATGATAAGAAAGCCTTTACAACGTGGGTAACAAACATCACGTTTCCTTGGAGAAGTGATGAGAAGATAGCTAGCTCCCTAAAGCTCAATAACGCTTTTGGATTAGCTACAGTGACAAAAAAAAGTAGCTTAATGGTTTGTTGAGTTGGATGGCGTGGATACAAAAAAAAGCGACAGTAATTCTTTGATCTGTGACGCATTGACAAATGGGATGTTTTCGTCGTTCCACAGTCGGACAAATGATGATTACAGTAACTCGGCAACTGACAAAACTATGTGCAACGCCAAGCTAGTATACAAGAGCTTATTTCAGCATGATCATTTTATGCGCATCTAAGCGGAGCGCCTACCACGAAACAGTAAAAGACTTACTACTTGCCATGAGTAACCCATGTCAAACTGTTCATTCACTACAACCAGTATTTCCTTTCAACCATTGCACGAAGTATCGAATAATTGCCAAAGTCGGTCTTAGACGTTCTCGAAAAAACATTACAATCCAGGTGCACAGCAGTACATTAAGACATAGGAAGCAAAGCAGGCACAGTTGAACTGTTCCAAGTTGTAATAAATAGGTAACTTTTTCTTATGCCGTTAGAGCTACCCATGTATTCTTAGCCTTTCGCAATGTCCAATTAAGCATCGACGAGTAGCTCAAACATCTTTTTTTCTAGTTTTACTAGCAGTTATATTTTTACTAGGGATGTCAAATGCTTGGCGTTTATGTTAAAGTTGACTGACAACAAGAGAACTAATAGTATCCGCATATAACTAACGTTGCAACACAAACCTTCTTCTTGGTATTCACTTCCCACCTTCTTTGATCGCAAAAAAATTGTCACCTCCATCTGCTTCCATCGACTCTTTTCAATACATGACATCTACCAAGCTGCTGGCCGTCAGCAATCTTTTATACCTTAAAACCGACGCGCTGAAAGAATGGACGTTCACGTAAAGGCTTCGCGGCACCCAATGGACAAGACACCTAGTGCTATTTGCGATGCATACCGGATGTTCCGAGCAAAACTGGAAGCTACTATACGTCTATAGCCTTTTGGTACAGCATCCCGTATGGGAACAGTATATGCCTACTACTCGACATCTTTCTGTCTCCTCACACTAAGTAAAACGGGGAGAGATGAATTCACAGCCACCGTACGACAGCCTACTATCGACAACACAACTTATAACATTAGCACGACTGGCAGGAATTGCACGAACAGTGCCATCTAGTTAATAACATTAGTTATATATTAGACTTAACAGCAGCCTCAGCCGCAACAGCCAACAAGTTGCGCTGTCACCAAGCAATGGTCGGTCTTTCTAGGGCGAAACAAGCATATTACCCTGCATTCCCTTTCAACTTGAAACTTAACGTTATTTCCTTTGCTCCAACCCAGCAAGGCGTCTTCTACTCCCACTCATAGCTTAAAGATTAGCCTCGAGTAGAAACCTATTGGATAAGAGATACAGTTTCGCACGTTTATTTCCTACCTTTCTAAAAGAGAAGAGAACTTTTATGCAATGGCACAAGAAAGAGTAACGTTTCTTTTTATCCCTTCTGACGCTGCTGACAACAACCGTAAATAGTAGGATGATCATATAAAAGCTGGTAGCCTTCTGCATTGCATTGTACTAAACATGAGCATATACACAGTATAAGTGACAACTCCCACCCATTTGAATGCTTTAAGCTTTCTTTGCATATCGAAAAACGTTTACATGTCTTCTACTCGCTTTTTTGCATGAATCTAGCTTTTCGTGAAGGATAGCATTGTATTTTCCAAATAGCAATTATATACACCAAATTCAAATAAATTTAGTATATCAAAAGTATTGCTCAAGTTTACGATCGTGAGATCAATTTTCAATGTGCCTTGGAGCGAGTACTTTTGCGATGCATCCTTTTGTGCGAAAGCAAAAGTAATTGGGAAGCACCGACAACTGTCGGAAGGTCTTTTCGCTAAAAATTAAATTTGCGCTCAGCAGAGCCAGGCCAACTTTTTTTTCTTCCTCTTGCCGATTTATGTTTGGACAATCTACAACATCGCAATCAGTAGGCACTTTTAGCTTACGCGGATCTGACAACACTACCGTCAGTAGCAGTCCTTTCGCAAATAACAGTAATAACAACAATAATAACGCGTCCACCATGTCGACTCCCGCTGTCGCCAAACCATTGTTCAGCCAAGTTGATACCAGCATTAACAATAGACCATTCGCTGTCCGCTCATCGAACAACGGCAGCAGCAACAACAACTCCCTGCTCTTTACAAGTACATCCAACACCACAAACGCTACACATAATTTGACGGCACCTACTACCGCTGGTATACCCGCATCGATACCGTTGCAATCTACTTTGCACAATAAAGAGACCAGCTTCAACTTGGACTTGACCAACACAACGACAGCCACTACACGATCAGCAGCCTTTCGTGGGTATTGGCAATCGCCGCCTACTTTCTTTATCTCTTCACAGGAACAGCAAGATAATGACATGGATGTGGATCAGTTAACTTCGGAAACAACGACTAATGTTGCTTTCGGTGAAGGCAAATCACTGCTACGATTCCGTCCAAATCCAGAAGTAAGGAATCAAATAAAAGACGGCTATTTTTTCTTGTTTTTTTTTCTTATTTCTTCTAATCCATTGAGCACCATCGTTTCCAGTCTTCAAGAATCGCCGGACGTAAACGTGAAATTGCAGCAAGCTTGAGCAGCGAGTAAGTGTTTCCTTTTCGTCGTCAAACACTGAAACAAAGTTGTAACAAAGGCACAAAAGTTAAATCAATTATCGGCATTCTTAGACGACGAGTATCATTTAAGCGCACAAGTACTGATGAAGGCAAAGGAAAGGCGCGCGCTGATGATGGAAGCAAAGGTTAGCCAAATAGAAGGCTCTATTTGAACAATGGCGATTGGTTTACTTACCAGACTGACTCTCTTTATTTCTTTAACATATTATTAGCAGATACCACCGTTTCAGACAGGTACGCGAATCGGAAATATGGGATAAATAAGAAACAGAGATATGAGAGCAAAGGGTTGAATTTCGTTTTCTGTTAATAAATAGGGAAGAGGCCGAGTCGATCTACGTGTTTGGATTTGCACCGGGCACTGAACAACAAATTATCGATTATTTTGCTAGCCATGGTAAAATCGTACAGCACAACACTTCGACAGGCAACTGGATCACGATCAGATACGACTCTGCTGCATCCGCAGAAAAGGGATTGAAGAGCAACGGCGTGGCAGTGACGGGCGATCATATTATTGGTGTTACACGTGGCACAAACAAGAAGACGCAAACGGCAACCGCCGAAGCATCAACGGCGTCATCCCATAAAGACGACGTGTTCCGAGTGATCCCGTTCGACCAAGCCAAAAACCTGTATAAGAAACCAGAAGCCATGAAAGGAGCACAACAGCCATCATCGGCAGCTGAAGGCTTGGGAAGTGGCAAGACCGGATTGAGCGTGTTGAATGTGCCAACGGTTAATCCGCCCGGAGACGTTAAGCTTATCAAGGATACCGGATTGTTGACCAAAGTCAAGGATTTTCTTTTTGAATGGTAAAAGCAGACGGACAACAACAACACGCACCAATACTGACGATGACGATGACGATGACGATGATGGATCTAAATTTTCCAATAAGCAGCGCACAACCCCTCTTCCCCATCCCCCATCCATAAACCTTTTTTTCACTCACCTTCCAATACACTCACATTCTCACTCACACACGCACACACTTCTTTTCTACTTGCAACACAATGCATCTTGTATAAATCTTTCTTTCTTTCTTATATACTTATAAACCCGTAATTTATAGGAGAGAGACTTCCTTCGATCGCACATAATGGCATGTACTTGGAAAAAGAGTATATAAAGGGGAGGTCATTGTTGCTTAGCGTCCGTAATTTTTTAGGGGGCCTTAGTGAAAGAGAGATAGAGGATAGGGGACTGTAGTCGGTGGCTGGGGGTGGAGGGTGGATATACAAGATAGAGGCATGTCTGTCTGCGTGTGTCTGTGTAAAGAAAAAAGGAAGTGGAGTGGGGGTATATGGTTCAAACAAAACATCAGATCATTTTTTTAAAAAACGCGCAGTTTTCAGATAATCAAGGGTTAAGACAAATGGATCAATATGTCTTTAGATGTCTTCTTCACCCAGCACATTTCGAATTCGATCTCTAAGTGCTTCGATGGCACCCATCTTCATCTCGAGGACTTCGTCGAGTCTGTCGAGATAATCGATAAACTCGCTAGACATCTTTAGATCGTCATCCGACCGTCGCTGTCCATGTCCTTCCTGCATCTCTTTGAGACTGGTTATGCTTAGGGAAAAATTGGCAAGTAGCTTTGTCTCTTTCTTGGAGCATTCGGCGACCTCACGGATCTCGCCGCGGTGGTATTTGATAAAGTCTTCAATGGTATGCTGTTCAAAAATGAAATCATCGTCGTCCATGACCGGGTCGTGCTGTTGCTGTGCAGCAGGTTGCTGTTGGTGCTGTTGGGGTGGTGATGGCTTCATTGGCTGCATAGAGAAATCATTAGTCGAGGCAGTCGAGTGGCTACGATGCATGGAATTGCTGCCATGCTGAGAATGTTGTCTCACAGGGCCGCTGCCATGGCGACCTCGCATAAATTCTGACGAATCATACATCGTCTCTGGCGAGGAATCAAGCACAAGACCTTCATCAGCACCACTGCCTCGGTGGCTAGCACGGGGTATACTAAATTGTTGTTGGTTGTTATTGGATCGAGCGCGTGAGTGCTTTTGCTGCTGCTGCTGCTGCTGCAATTGTTGCTGTTGCTGGGTATCAGCAAGCGGCTTTGTTCTCATTTGAGCAGTTCCATAACCTTGTCGGCGATGTGATACGGGCTCATGAAAATAGCGATTATTGTTTTCATGCGGAAAGTCTTCATCGAGGATATTGACATCACCGTCGCTGGGAAAATATTCTTCGTCAAGAAACAAATCATCGTCATCTCCATCGTTGTAAAGCTCAGGATCATCCGACTCGTTGTAGTCGTTCTCGGGATAATCATCCTGGTATGAATCGTCATTGGTGTATTCCAATTCATCGCTCATATTTCTCGTGTTGAGGCTCGTGTCGCCGTGGTTATCGTTGGCAACAACACGTCGATCGCGCTCACCCTTCAGTTCTTTTACCCTTTTGTATTATAAAAGTAGTCAGCACAATCATCCATTATCCACTGTTTAAGGTCTCGGTATCCGTTAATGTTATCATTACCTGTCTGCATAACGTAGCGTGTTGAGAGTATGTTCGCTGTTGCTCTGATTGGGTGATATAGTAGCAATCATGCATGTACGCGAGTTACCGACGAACGAATCTTTCAGGACCTGTGTAAGTTTGCTTTGTCGGAAAGGGGTATGTCTTTTATCCTGATCCAAAGCACGGATGCATTCCTTCAACGCTAGTAAGCTCTTGTTGATTTCGGCACCTTCCATCCTATTGGAGTATGTGGTTTACAGTTTCGGGTTAGTTTGCTCAAGGTAGCTTTAAGGAAACACAAAAAAGAACATTAAAGACAATGTCCTTCTTTTTCGAATATATACCTCGTTTTCGCGTCAGCATCGCCACGATCAGCACCACGTTCACTGCCCGCCAGATCAATGAAGCTCAATTTACCAATAATTTTTTTACGACTCTTGGCTGGCTTTAACAGAATTTGCAGAATAGCGTGCGAGCGGGAAGAATCCGAATTCGCACCCGTGCTTCCTATATACAAATATGGAATTACATCAAGAGAATCAACATAATCGCCCTCTTTTTTTCTCTCTCTCAAAATAAACAAAACGCATGTTGTTTTTTCTAACGATCCCCTTTTTTCTTACCCGTGCTCCGAGCTTGACTTCCGTATTCAAACACTTGCATCAGGTCATCGACGTTTTTGATGATATACTCTTTTAACCCGACAATAACCACATTCTGCTTGCCATCCTCACGGGCAAATAGCTTTTTACGATTGTTCAACAGATCATACAATTGGCCTTGATAGATTTCGTAAAAGCCAATCCATGCAGTTAGATGCTGATATTCAGGCTGTCGGAGCAAATGGAAAATGTCTCTTGCCGCAAGGACATAAAGGCCGTGTCGGGGATCAAGCATAGTGAATGTTTTTCCTGAGCCGGTTTGGCCACTGATTTCAATTCTGGTTAGAGTTTAAACCAACTTAAAAGATCACACACGTAATGCAGTACTTACTAAGCAAAGCAAGTGGCCTTTCCACCACCAAAAATATATCTGACCAAAGGTTGAGCAGTACGTTGGTATACCTAGTATTATGTATGTCAGCGTATATATCCGATCGTTTATTAGTAAAAAGAAAGATAGCCGAAAATCGCTCACTTGATCATTAGCGGCATCAGAATCGAAAACATCGTCGTATGTAAAGCTGTGCTGCTCGATATATTTTGTGAGGTCAACCTTTGTTCTGATCATGGGTTAATATTTACTGCATACAGCCCAGAAGAAGACCAATGAAATTCATTTTGACATTTCGCACATTTATAACTTACTTGGGCTCGTTCACATTGATACTACGAATACCAGCAGTAGGCGATATATCCTTTTCACCTCGATCTAATTCCTTCTTGTTAAGCGGTCGCTTTCTCACGCAAACACGAATCTTTTGGTTGAGATCACTCTGGATAGCAGTGGATGCAAAATTGCTGTTGCTTGATCCTACTCCGGGCGAAGAAGCTGGTGACGAGCCGTATGAAGCAGCAGTCATGCCAAAAGCGCTCCCTCTCTGACCATAGCCACCACCACCACCAGCACTGGCACCTCCTCCTCCTGATCGGGCTTTGCTGTGGATAGGGACACCATACGGATCTAAGAGAGGACCTGACCCGCGCCTTATCTCGCACTTTTCCTCCTCATCCGAAGATTCATAGTCGTCAATGTTGTTATTACTATTGTTACCGCCGCCGCCAAGAACGAATCGGTCCGAATTGGCCTGTGATGATTGTGGTGGTCCCGGTGACTTGATCTTCAAATCTGGTCTTTGATTCTGATCGGGCAAAGTGCGCGATCGTGAGCGTGTTTGGGGTGCTGCGAGGTTGGAAGAAGCAGTCGACTGGGGGGTGTTGCGCCGAGAAATGCTAGATGGATCCGGGATGCTAGAACCTCCTGATATTGACGAAACACCCTTGCTCATAAGCAGCGACGACGAGTCTGGAGGTCGACGACGATACGATTGCGGTGTCTTGAGACCAGTCGTTTGAATCGGAACACTAGCAGGAGAACTACTAGCACTGTTAGGACTATTATTCGTTGCTGTTGTTGTCGTGGATGCTGCTGTCAAGGTGGGTGTTGTTGCAGTTGTCGGCGTAGGGGTGTTGATAACGGGAGTGGCCGATGGAGACGATGCAGCGGAAGACGTCAAAGGAAGACTGCTGGTGACTGGGGATGAGACTAGACCGTTTTCCAAAGTGGGAAGTTCTTGACGTAACTTCTGCACGAGCTAGTAGTTGATTTGGGGGTTTTTAGTTGTTTTTAGCTGCTGCCGTCGCCTTCCGGTCCACAGACATATCCGTGTATACATTCGTAAAGGCACAAATACTCTCTCGTTTCTCTCTTTTTCACTTACTTGGAATAGCCTCCTTCTATCCGGGATCGACGTTATTCCCAAACTGCTGTAGTCCTGCATGGACAACTAGAGAATATCGGTGCTTTTCGATTAGATATATAAGCAGAGCGAAAATACGCCCTGAAGTCATAGGTGGATGGAACATATGGGTAGGCGACGACAACCAGCAAATAAGCAACCCGCCTCAGGGGAAACGCTTTAACCAAAAAGAAGGATACGTCCTCTACACAGAGAAAACTCATCGCGCCTCAATCCGGTCCTCTTGTTTCCTTCTCCAAAATTACGTTAAAGAAATGCGTACCTGAGCCAATGACTCTAGTTGCGTGATTCCATTGGACGAGAAGCTGTTGAGATGTAGTAGCAAAAATCACAGTTACTGCGTGAGCCCCGCGTTTTGTTCCTGTTGGAACGTATTTGAGAAGAAAATATGAACGTAATAATACTGCTATGCTAACCTGAGATAGTACTAGCATTCGAAGGTTTCAATACGTTAAAGTTTTACGAGGAATGTAAGTGATTATGCTGTATGAAGAGCGAAAAGAACAAGCAAAGGAAGACAGTATATGTGCTTACCTGTTCCAGTTCTGCGTTTCGTAAGGTTTCTAAAAGTAATGTGGTTACCATTGAGCAGCAAAGAAGGAAAAGAAAAAGAGAGAGAGAGAAAGAGCGGGGCAACGGGAGAAGGTGGGTGTTGTTCGGTTTTGGGTGGGGGGGGGAGACAGAGTGCGAGTGGTGAGAAAAGAGAACTAATGCGAAGCAACTACTAAGTAGCAATCCGGGCTGCTGCTGTTGCTTTTGCTGCTAGGAGATATCCAAAGTTTGTTAGTCTGCGCTCGTTTCTGGTCTCAAAGCTTATATCTCTCTATCCTCATCTCTATCTCATAGTTTTACTAAAGTACTTACCCACAATGCACAACACCTGGCCCTGCCACAAACTGTGTTTATGAAAAGAACTGGGGCTCCTGCAACTTGCAGCAACAAGTAAAAAAAAAAGCACGCGGAGCACACGCTCCCGTTTTCTTTTACTCCGATCACACTGCACTTACACTAGTTGAATGCATTTCCCGATTTCTGCTACAGCATAATGTCGCAGATAAAGCAGCAAATATCAGCTTCTCTGTTATGGTTTCTGTTACAGGCTTACTATTCGATATCCTTTGGATAATTGTATCAAGGTAGCTTATTGTGTAGTGACCATATTATAGCTGATATGTAGCAGTACATGGCAGCGGCTACAAACTTGATATCGTGCGTCTTATCATCCTCGGTATATGAATAGGCATGTAGCAATCGACGGAGTATAGAAGAATATGGCGCCGGGTTCCTTGTCTGATTGAACTTTAAATAAGTGACAGATCACATTACATACACATGCTAATAGATTCTCTTTTAACCAAGTGGAGCTTTACATCATATTAAGGCATTCGACATCACTCTTCTTACATCGATAAAATCTCATCGATAAGAAGCGCAATGGTGAGTTATGATATATGACTAAGTAGTAACAATAAGGGAAAACAGCGACGACAGTGATCGCCCAGGAGAATCAAGAATTATACAAGACTATTTGTCTACTAAATATCAATGAAAAGTTTTTGATGGTAATTCTGTGGTTTATTTATTTCACCATGGTTAATGCCACATGCAACAGCTTCTTTATACTAGTCGATTCAATCCGATATATTTACCTTATACTTTACGTTTTTTATTCGAGGAAAATGGTCAGCATCATGTCTAGAATACTCTCCTAGGCCCTGGAGAATGTTTCTTAGCGGCTTTGATTTATGCATATTTATGCAACCATGATTAAATGTCTTCATGAAGCTTTCTCCATTCCATTTCACCAGTGCTGGAAAAAAGGACTACTACTATGATTTTTACTGGCAAAATAAATCAACGAAGATTGAATGTAAAGTGGTGAATAGCAACGACACGTTGACGTTGTACAATTTATTTGTTGTATTAAAAACTGTGATCCGATCCTCTGGTCCGCCAATGCTTTCAGCAATTGACAGACACAGCATACAAGCGCCGTTATGAAAGAACGGATAAATATCTAAATCAGGTAATTATCGTGTTACTATGTGCTGAAAAAGATGCATGGCTTTTGGTTCCAAGCACTGGAGCAATTGCATGCCCCACCACAAACCTCGGATCAGCTCTGGGATGCTCTCAACATGCGCTTTTCCAATGACAACATGCTCCGGCGCTCTCACCTCGGCGCGCTTAGGGTTTTGATACAGACTGTGTGGGCCATGCACTGGCGCACTGCTGTACTAGATGACATAACCACCTACAAAGTCATCTCTCCCGTTCCCAGTAGTAACCCCATCTCAGGGGACTCACTCACGAAATTTTGGGGCTCAGAACCTTCAATAAAATTTACCATTCTTCATACAAAATATTACATGGCTGCTCAAGTCTATACACCACCTTATACGATTACTTAGTGTACGCACCTCTGAAAGATAAAACATTCATCATAATATTCAATGAATGTACATGCTGATAATATAGTGCCAGCAAAACTGAAAAAGTGCAGCAGACAATAATACCATGATGGTATATGCATACAACTACATTGTCGGATTAAAGTCTCGAAATGAAAGAGCTGTGCTTCATCTTGGCGTCCGAAAATAAACGATCGCATCATGTTGCACTAGTTGTTCGACACAGTTAAGGAGGGTGAACCCGCCCTCTGGCAGAAGGCGTCACCGAGAAATATTGTTTGCTTACATCTGTGCGTCGCACGAATCAGACCGTTGTCGTTGTTACTGCTGCTGCTGCTGCTGTTGGCTTGTTGTTTTGACTAAGCTATTAAATTCATTCACGCTGCATTTGATCCGTTCAAAAGAAAAGGTGGCTATCGTTGCATCACTCTTCAAATTGATGACACATATCATATGCTACATTGCGTTACAAGTCTCAAGCATAATGACGATGATGGTATAAGAACAGTTACTCATCATTTGACGTGCGTCCAAAATTCCTTGTTTGTTGCCATATTCCAAATACTAACAGCATCATCGATCGGTGTCTAGCTGATAATGCTTTGTCCGTAGGATTGGCAAAGCGATAAATGGAAGTGATATAGTGTCTTTATGGAGATGAAAATATAGTCAACGGATCATCCCTCTGTTCGTGTCACATTGAAAGGCGTTAACTTCACTGCGCATCCAACAGCACATAATTCATACCTTTGCTTAAATGTACAGGAGGACACCATCATGATGATGCACTTTTGACGGTTTGTGCCCAGACTCTGCTATATCAGAAGTAGTTTTAAGCAGCATATGGAGTGCTGTGACTTCCACGCCTTTTTAGCCCGAGGATGGTGGTTGAGGTGTACCACCTTTTGTCTACCTGGCGTGCCCTTCCAGTATCAGTGTGCTGTGTACATACACTAGGCGCGAGTCGCTATATGGGATAAAAGAAGCAAACGAGTGAGAGTAATCCGGTTCCAGGCGCTCGTGTAACTACGCAACATGCACCCAAAATGTTCACAGTCATAAGAACGACAGTTACCCACTCCACAGAGAGAAACACAATATATTATATGCTCTCATAAACAAAACAGCCCTTTTGACTATGTGGCCTCATCAAACCCCACCATGAAAGTGGTTGCTTATGCTTAGTTGACGCACAGCCGCTCTTTTATATAAGTTTGGACAAAAAAGCAAGCACATTTGCTCCGAAGGCGGATTGTTGGTAGCACGTATCACCAAAACATTTTTTTTCGATAATGTACATCACGCTACACAAGGCTGATGAGCAAATGTTCCGGTGTCCTCGGGACACTTTACCCGATCAAAGAAAAAGAGTGCGCAGAAGTTTTTCCTTTCATGCAGGCCAACCTTAAAGTACCGAAAGAAAAGAACGCAGATGAAGAGTGTCAGCAGAGGACATGCTTCCTTGCAAGCTACTTTTGCTATGAACGAAAGTAAAAAGAGTCAAACTGTCGCGTTGTTTACGCGGGTATGGACTGCAGGAAGATTCCCCTTCTCTTTGCCCCTTACCACCTTCAGTGCTAAACACGGACATTACCGCCCTTTGATGCTTTGTCGGCGCATATGTTGAGTAACCTGAAGTTGCATCATACGAGAACGAAAATATAAAGAGCGGGTTCCGGCGGTTGCAGTGACATACATCAGCAGTCCGTTTACTGCAATAACAACAACAAGTATGTATTGGTGGCTCTATATATACTTGCAGCAACAATCCGATCGTTATCTTAACCAATAAGTGTTTCGAAACGAAGAGAAAAACAAACATAAGCGTTATGCTTGTCAGTTTGGGGGCTAATCTAATCACGAACCGTCAACAGCATTTGGGGGTTGTACAAAGAGAAGCGCGCGTTAAAGTTTTTCACATATACTCTTTCGCTCTAAGAGTTACTGCATTAAAGAAGATTGAAAAACCTTTAAAAGCACCTCATTTTTTCACTCATCCCACTTTTTCTCTCTCTTTTTCTTCTTTCTGCTTTGTGATTCTTCTTTGTTGATACGCCAACACCACCATGTCGAAGCTTCATATTTTCCAAAAGGTAGTCAACGTCGTTGTCTATCTTTTCTTCCTGTCCACCACAGTATACAGCATCGTAGGACCTGCCCCCAATGACGATGTTATTGGCGAGGGTCAAACCTACATCACTCCATGTAAGTACATCATGTCGCTGTGTGGATGTATAAAAGCCAATTTCCGCGTTGATCCATATACGCGCACGCGCACAGAATGACTGACAGACATGGAATTACTGTGCAATAATAGCCTTCTGGATTGAATGGGTCTGGACTGTCATTCATCTTCTTTTGGGTGCCTTTGTCATCTACCAGTGGTTTGAACCTGCCCACGAGCAGGCCATCCATGGTGTTGGCTGGCACTTTGTCATTTCTGTCTTGCTCAACGCTGCTTGGCTCGCGCTTGTGGTGAGTATTCTGTTAATGAAAGAAAATAACTGTGGTCTCTCTTCACCTCACACGCGCTCTATCTTACATTTTTCAATAGAAACACGGCCACTTCATCATCGGCTTCATCTTCGTCCTTCTGACTGCTTCCTCCGTTTCATACGTGTTCTGTAAGTATATGTTTCGTCCTTACTCTTATTTGACTATGGCGATCACTCATCATCACATACGCTCTCGATGTTGCTTTATGCATAACAATAGACAACCTCAGCAAGAACCATCCTGCTACTACGTGGTGTGACATGATTCTTATCCACGCCCCCTTCTCTCTCTGGCACGGCTGGATTGTCTTCTCTGCTGTTGTTGGATTCTTCCAGGCTTTCACTCATGTTAGCGAGGATGGCCCTGGTTTCTGGAGCCGTATCTTTGTGATCATTGGCATCTTGTTCTTGGCCGGTACTGCTATCGGCTATGTTGAGTACAAGAAGGAAAAGGGTGATCTCACCAGTGCCTTTGTCATTGCTCTTGGATTGTTGGCTGTCTTCACCAATCAACAGGATGCTTGGATTCGCTGGTAAGTTTCCTAGTTTCTATGAGAGTAAATAAATAGAGAGCAGATGCTCATCCTTGTGGTTTCTGATTGGCTCATTTCTAATGTGAACGTACCGTTTAAAATGAAATTACAGGTTCGCCTTTGCCTTCGCCATTTTGAGCTTCTTGTACCCCGCTCGTGCCGTTGTTTTCAAAAAGTTGGGCCGCAACACCGATGCTGCAAGCGCACCTTTGCTTGGTTAAAAAGACAAAATGACCAAGAAATACCAACTTCCATCATGTATATTTTAGTTATATTGAGTAGCTCTTAGCCCTTTTTAAATAATCCCACCACTTATTGAATCTTAGCCATCTTCTATTCCCCGGCTTTCCCAACCGCTGTATCTTACATAAAGAAATGGTGTGCGAGTTGGTGATGCGTTCTTATAATAGTTTATGTGCTGTGGGTCCAACCCCTCTTTTTTGTGTAATATACCTTTTACGTCACTTCTCCGCATAGGTGTGTGTGTCACATTACGTTGTAAAATGTAGGCGCATTTTCTATTCTCACTCTCTATTCGCTTCGTGTCTATCGTATTCTTTTATGTCGCACATTATTCGCGAAAAGGCACATCACCACAACAGTGAAAGCATCTTCTTCTTTTGTGTGCTGTTGCAACAATATGACCTATCGTACAGAAAAGAAAAAGCTAAGCTGCGCTAGCTCAGTTTAAAGTGTACGCTTATCACGAAAAACGCGACATTTTATTTTTGTATTCGTAAACGTGTACTCAACCTCTACTTCTATTGCTTCACTTGTTATCAACTATTTGAAGACAGCGAATGTACCTTTTTTTTGGTGTGCGTAGTATTCGAAAATGGACCGTGGGACTTTTCATCACTATTGTTACTTACTACCACTGCAACTCCTAGCCATAATAGCAAAGAACCTGTGACGGATGCAGTACAACAAGCTGCACTATTGCTTTTAACATCGAGATGAAACTCTCTTTAGCATCGTCGAGTGATACACCTAGGTTACACCCACCTAGTCTGGTAACTTTGTGCTTTCTATCCCATTTTTGTTTCTTTCAATGGCTAAAGCATATCTAATACATTTTGTTACGTTTAGTGTCTGTACTTGCACCCGCGCAATATTGTCATCAGTCTAGTGATAACATAATATTTGATTTAGTGAATTGTTGAGAATTCGCTTTTTCTGTCTGAAGCAGTGCTCGTCTTTGTTAAGGAGAAACTAAACATTCCATGCATACCACACGCGCTAGGAAGATGAGATGAGTATAAATCAAGAGTATATAGATTCAATACCGGCTTGTTGCTTTACCAAATCAGTAAGAGACGCATACCATATGGATTATTGTATAAGAATTTGCAGCAGATGTTGCATATCTTCCAAGTGCCTCATTAAAACAGCTTCACAATGGCTCTGACTATTATTCAAACTACAACAATTGTTCCCTTAAATGTAAATATAATTTTTTTAATATTACTGTACCGTTGCTATGCAACGCTGCCACTAACACATGTACTAAAGCTTGTTATTGTTGCTGGTACATCTTGCTAGCTGCATAGAACATGCCAACATTTGGTCATGTTAGGCAGTTTATTTGTTCGACAAAAGTAGACCGAACAATCGGACGCGAATATATCAAGTGACGTGCTTGTCATGCGCCAACCGTGGTTTACCTCACTTAGGAGCACGTGAACCATACATGATACACAATTTGTTCCTATGTACAGCCGTGAGTCCTGATTATTATCATGTGGTCCACAGAATGATCAACCATTCGAAGAAGATAAACCCCTTTTTCATTGGAGGTAGATCATCAATGTAATCGGATTATCTTACTAAACTAAGCTACTACTACGGCGAACTATATAACACATGCTTATACTACATTGGTTGGATATGATACGAGAATTCATCCTGCCTCGTTTTTCTTTACAATAGAGAATTTCTCCATTTCATATAACTATCGTCAGCAAGAAAACGTTAGAGGCAGCATTTTGTATGCGCTAGAAGCTATATGCAGCCTCATACTGCATATTGCATCTATTAGCTATAATCCTACCTGTGCTTTTTGAAGAGCACGAGCGCGCCCAGAAAATAGTCTATGTATCAATCATACCGATGCGCCATAGAATGGCCACTGTATAGTATACTGAAGGTGGGGTCCCTGGAATGTATGCGCGCAGCACCAGTCAGGTTGGTGCTGTCTTCGTATAATCACTGCAGCTACGTCAAGTGGTTGAATAAGCATGAAGATGCTAATCACAGTACTACTGCTTTAATTGGGAAACGAAAATTTTAGATGATGGTGCTCGAATTCCAACCTTGCACAGACCTTGTCACACACGCACTACTACACTCTCTTAACTTTTTCCTCCCGACCAGAAGGGCGGGTGGGATTTAAGTTTTTGCTATATAAAACATATCCACACGAACCGCAAGGAAGCGGCCGCAATGTCTATTGGCGCAGGTTAACAGTCTTCCACGAACAATAAAAACCAAAATTTTCATCTAGTGCTTTAATTGAAGAATAACAGACAACTTAAACTCTCGCAAGCAACTCCAACAGTTTTTAGTTCTGCTAGTGAGATTTCCGAGGTTCAGAGATTGACTCTGTAACTAATATACGGATGGCTACTTTGCTAGTTCACTAATAACTGACGCGTTGCAAAAGGCGGGAAAACGCGGATTTTTTTATACGAAAATGGCATGAATATAGTAGTGCATTATGCGTACACGTATTACTGTTCACAGCCACCGCCTTGGTTCTTCTTCGTTATTCGAAAATGTTTCTTCTAACATTACAAATAGCACGAGCTAAGGGTTGACATATTAAGTACATTTATGATACTTAAACGGTTTCCTTCATCATATAATACTTGAACTTCTTGTGTCAGTACTAGGTGGTAATTTAATTATCCAAAAATTGTGTGCTGATCATCTCAGAAAAAAAAGATATGCGGTGGTTACATCATATTTAGCCAACAAAGGCTCTCAAATTCCTTTTTAAAGTAGTATAGTGGCTGAGCTTTAGAATGTATACACCTTTCCCTTTTTCCTCTATTCACAAAGATGAACATTCTCTCGTGACAGAGATACACATGGTTTTACAATAAGGTGAACAACAGCAACATTTGTATGTCATGCACAACAATTTATTGCCATAATCCATCATCAACAACATCAGCAGCAGCAGTTGTTTGAGCTAGCAGTGATCGCACTTGTATTATTATCTGGCTGATGATCGCTTTAATTGTTGTTGGTGCTGGATGGGTTTCCTTTTACCGAAGAAGAGCCGAAAACAAATGCGTCTAAATTCGCAATTGTAGTAGTGGTCGCGCTAAAACAGCATTATATAAAAAAGAAATGTAAATTACAAGGAAACATTTACGCAACAGCCACCAATTATCTCAAAATTTGAGCATATCATCACCATTACCCGTCATCGCCAGCGCTTCCAACGGCATCACCAGAAGACGATGCTTTGAGCACGTATTCATTGGCGCTATTCAGGACAAAATATCGTGATTCGAATTGATTGTCTTGTTTCTGACGCTCTTTAGCTTCTGCCCGTTGCCGATCCTCTATCGACATTTTTTCATCGGTTGCAACGTCCATATCCTGCCGCTTGATTGCATCTGTCACTTTCGCCCACAGCCTGATATATCGTGTTATGGATTATATGCAAAAGATCGAGTGGGTACGTATCACATTAGCATACATACAAACAATTTAAAAATAGAACAAACCTTTACCTTCGGGATTCTTGATCTTCCTGTCGGTGCTCATGTTCCACAATCATGGGATGGATCATTGACTTCTTCACATCAAATAGCGACTGTTTCTTGGACGACTATGGTTGTTTTTGACATGGGTAACAGATTTAGCTTCTTCATTTACATATTAGCTAGTAGACAGCGCCACTGACTTCAGCTGATACATTCACGAGACTACCTATAACGATGTTACTCACTTTGGGAGGGCTGATGAACAGTTCATTCGACCATGTTCCGGATATCTCTTTAAGCACTTGACCTGTCGCTTCGTTTTTTATTTTGCCAGTGACCACATTGTACTGCCCGGAGAAAAAGCCCTGAATACGATATGTCATTTACTATAAGCATCATTCAACTATCGATTGATCTATTAACGTCACAAAATTTCATGCTGTTGTATATACTTTGGTTTTAAAGTCCAGTTCGCAAACGAATCCATTTTCAGGACATTTAACGTAACAGCTGTCACCAAGCTCCATGATCATTTTTCCAACTATGACAAAAGAATTCCATCACCAAAACCATCATCATCATAGTTAGTCTTTTACCCTTGTCTCCTTTTTAACAACCTTCCCCCAGGTTTTTAAAATAAAGTAGTAAGACATACATAAAATTCCTCGAGCATAGACATTCGGCATAGTGATACAGTATTTCTCGTCATCCCAACGTGCCATAGTGATTGTAGAAAAGCCTTCCATAAGAGTCGCTGCGCTGTTACCCAGGAACTTTGGCTTGGGTCTCAGGTTACCCTGAATAGTGACTCCATTTTCTGGGCTCGCATAATGATACGCACTGATCGGTGGATGATGTGACACCTGCTCTGCAACGTAAATTGCTTCGGTACCATTCGCATAACGCCAGCGACTTCGAAATATCTCACCAAGAACAGGATTGTACGGTTTTTTGACACCCTACAAAAGTTTTTGAATATTGTTTATAAAGGTATACATAGCGTATGTAAGAGATGAACCCTGGAATTTTCACGTGGAGTCCCCATCTATGTGGATATGTTTTTGTTTACGATGATCATCACCCGCTCTCTCTCTTCTTACTTTGGGCTTGATATGCCAGCCGGACAAAAAGAAACGGACAACCCCAATAAATCGCTCCAAAGGATCAGTGTGTGTGGTGGCTCTGTGCGTGTAAAACGTTTTTGCATGATTATCACCGTTGTTACCCAATCCTTGTGCACCCGGACGACGAACTGACCACACACCCACACATCGTTGATGCATTATGACCCCCACCAGCATCGACGCCCATCCCTTATCTCCCTTTGCTCCCCATGAGAAACATATATGTTCCTTCATAATCATGGCTGCTTACTCTAGTAATAGTTCAGGATGGCTCATAAAATCCGTGATCCGTTCCAACATGCTGCGTGGCTCCAGCACAAATGTAGGTAGAGTAACTCGATGGAGATCAGTGCCCTTGCCAAGCTGTGCTATGATTCCCATGAGGATGCTGCGTGAATCGTCCTCCAAAAGCTCGGTACAATCAGGGTCGCCATCAGGGCCCGATGTGGTACTGTTCTTTCGAGTCATATTGCAAAAAGTATAAAGTCTTTTGCTGTTACTGTTTAGTGTTGCTGTAGAGAAAAAAGAAGAAGAAAAACGAAAAAACGGTAGCTATTGAAGAAAAAAGGGGAAAAGAAAGCAGAGAAAGAAGCAAAGTTTATGCCAAACCTTTTCGTTGCCTCAGGGTGTTTATATATAAATGCTGCAGATAGATCGGATCGACGGCATAAGCGGTGTAGTAGCAGCGACAGGTTGCACAGCGCTATTGCAGACCTTTCATCTACAGCTTACGCTTGATCCTCTCCGTATTAGGCAGTTATTTCTTGGCCGTAGATTTCTCCTTTTTCTTTGTTAGAGAGCTATACAGTAGTACGTACATTTTACATTGACCCTATCTGTTGCTCTATGTATTAAACTACTTCCAAATTTTATGTGCATACTGATTCATGGTGTAAAAAAAGGAGACTAGGAGACAACTGAGATACTTTCTTTATGAATGCTTGACTGATAGCTGCTGCTATCCCTGTTCCTAATACCTTGCACATTGAGCGAACGTTGACGGACGAGCAGATCAAAAAAAAAGAAAGAAGCAAGCTATGCCACTATATAGACGCCCAAGTGTGCTTTTCAAACACCGCATAGCCGGAGGGTCCGCCTGCCAGCAACTTGAAGCGTTCAGTGCTATTCGAGTTCCTCCTCTTTAATCGATAAGGTAAAAATCCAAGCACCATCCATAAAGAAAAGAAAAGCCATCCATCCATCCATCCATCCATCAATACTAACGACATCCGTTTTGATTTAATCTATGTCATTCAAACTCTCGTCGACCCTGTTTGTTCTCCACAACGAAAAAACAAAAATTAAACACGACATTCCATTATAATTCACTTTTTTCTTTGTCTCTCATTTTGCAACAACAACAACACGTTACTACAACTCGCCTGACGAATAATTAGCATGGTTGCTCTTAACGTGCCCGCTGACATCTTGGCCAGCGCTGACGGCTCCCCCAAGCTCTTCAACAAGTGGTCCTATGAGGAAGTTGAAGTGAAGGACATTTCGCTCCAGGATTACATTCAGGTCCGCCAGCACACCTACTTGCCCCACACTGCTGGCCGTTTCGCTGTCAAGCGTTTCCGCAAGGCCCAGGTTTGTTATTACTTTAGTTTTGCTCGCTATGGAAAGAAAAAGCGAAAGGAGAGAGAAACAGAGGTTTTAGTGTAACTGCTCAAAGTGGACGCGAGAAACTAACCCGTTTATACATCGTATAGTGCCCCATCGTTGAGCGTTTGACAAACTCGCTCATGATGCACGGTCGCAACAACGGCAAGAAGTTGATGGCTGCCCGCATTGTTCAGCACGCCTTCGAGATCATCAACTTGTTGACCGATCAGAACCCTATCCAGGTTCTTGTTGATGCTATCATCAACACCGGTCCCCGTGAAGACTCGACCCGTATCGGTTCCCAGGGTACCGTCCGTCGTCAGGCCGTTGATGTTTCTCCTCTCCGCCGTGTCAACCAGTCCATTGCTTTGTTGACTACTGGTGTACGTATCATTCTCTTACTTATATATTTGACCCACGAAAAAGCAAGTGCTTTTAAGGTATAAGATATTGATGTTTGTTTATGTGCTTTATAGACCCGTGAGGCTGCTTTCCGCAACGTCAAGACCATCTCTGAGTGCCTTGCTGACGAGCTTATCAACGCCGCCAAGGGTTCTTCCAACTCGTATGGTATTAAGAAGAAGGACGAGCTTGAGCGTGTTGCCAAGTGTAAGTATTTGGATTACAATATATACATCCGCAAACAACTTGACGCAATAATTATTACAAATGAACTAATGCAATATTATTCTTTTTTTTCCCTTTTTTAAATAGCCAACCGCTAAGGTTAATATTACCCTTTTTCCTGGGTTGCGGATTATTATCTTTTGTATCCAATAAATAAAACAAAAGTAAACTTAGCTGTTGCACGGAATGGAAGTCATGATTATTTATTGAGATGGAAAAAAGCAATTGCTGTGGCGCGTGTAAACGAACTAGAAGAAAAAAGATTGGAGTATATTATTGTAAAGTGTTGTGGTTTGGGTGTGCTCGAGAGAGAGGGAAAGGCAAGAAAGTCTACAACGTGTGTGTGTGTATTGATTCTATTCATGTTATTATTCATGTTATTGGTTGTCTTCTTGGACGTAGTATAGTTTGCGCTCTTCAATTTGACGCTCAATGCTCTCAAGGTTGGGAAGATTGAGATATGAATTATGGTAAGCCAGGACTTCTTCAAGCGATAAGTGTGGGATCAGGTTACTATGTCAAATATGAAAGAAAAAGAAGTTATTATATGCAAGAATGATAAACACAGAATCTCTACTTACGTGCGAGGTGCAACCTTAAGACAATGCTCGGCATCGAGATGTATATCAAGGACATCCTTATAATGGGCACCAGAGCTAAAGCCTATCCGCAACGAATATTCTTTGCCAGGTTCACTGTGTTTGTTACGCTCGTACAACTCGAATGTGATCTGGGTTAAAACTATTGTAGCATAGTCAGTACCGCATGTCAATTCATTTGCATCCCTTATACGAAGAAATGCATTGGTGTCACTGCTGAAAAAAACTTACAGTCCAACTCTGGTAAAGCGTTTCTAGGGACCTTGGTTGGTACTCCAGACAGATACACCAAATTCAATAATGCATGAACATGAGATTCTACATAAAAAGGAGATAGTGATATTTAGCATTGATCCCGTTTTTGACGCTATTACTGTTTACCTTTCGTAAAGTAAAGTCGTGTCTTTGGGTTGTCCGAATACTTTATATCTCTCAAGTCGCTCAATATCGACTTGAGCAAGGGTAGCCCAATCAACAAGCCAATGCTTTTCTTTTCTTCATCCGTAATACCATACTCTTGAGGCGCCACAAAGTCAAACATGGTGCGGACGTACTTGTACAGTTTTCGCAGATCACTGCTACCATGGATAACGCTGGAAGAATCGGTGGAAGGACGACCCCGTGACGAGCTTCCGTCAGTTGATCCGGTTTCCGATTCTGGAGCGGGTGCATCAGGATCACTGAAAATACCCTGCAAAAAGGGGCGGTTATGCAAAGCATCGTATTTCAGTGCATCATAAAGCTCTGGGATCCATGCCGGATCAGGCGCAGAATGCATTCTATTTCGAATATCGGCCTCGTCGCTCTCGTCGCCACTGCCGTGATCGCAGAAGTTCTTGAATTGCTTTTCCCAACGCTCGCGGAACAGGGCAGGGGACTCAAAACAGCACCATCGTCTTTGAATTTGATCAACATCCTTGATTTGCCAGTTGTAACGCATGATTTGTCGTAGACGTGACATGATCAAACTAATTTCTTGCATCACCACATGAGGCTGTGGCATGTCTTTGGGCCAGCCTACTTGGGCTAATTGAAGCTGTGGGATCTCATAGCCTGGCCGGATCAACGTTTTGAGTTGTCGCTTGACTGCATCGCCTTGCTCTTTGGCTGCGTTGCTATCATCCAGCAAAGACTTGCTTTCTGAAATGACGCCTTCAATTGACTCGGGTTGACCAAGGAATCGTCGAGCGAACACATCGGCTATCAGGACGGGGTGAAGGTGTTAAACACAGTATTGTAGATCCACCTGATGGTACATATCCTGACATATCATCGCTATTCTTATTACCTGTGGCTCTCACACGGCGTTCAGAGCTGCTAAAGATTTTGACGTCGTCCATGATATTTCGATTCAAGATGTTCATATCCTTACGCAGATTCTCGCCCAGATCGCGGGATTGATGCAAGCCAGCGTGTGTAAACTAGTCCATGTAGACAAGGTATGTGAGATATCAGGAAACGCTAACTCTTCTTCGTTGACTTACCTCGCCACCCCATTTCACGTTCACTTGAACCTTCTTGACTTCTCCGGTCTCCTTGTCAAATTGCGGCTTCACTTGTACCTTGGTACCTGGTAAGTCCCACTTCTTTTCGAGAATCTCTTTCAGTGAGCGTAGCTTGTCCGCATCGCTGTGGTTCAATTCAAGCGACTTGTCGACAGCCTGAGCAACCAATGATAATTGATGCTTTTGCCGAAAGACGACTTCTTGTGTGCTTCCATCAAGAAGATCAATAAATGGCTGGGCTTGTGTTGAGATTTTGGACTTGTCCTTGGGCGTACGATCGGCATGTCGGAATACAGCAACAAAGCCCTTGATACGCCAAGAATGTTCTGGTGCGATTTCTCGAGGGATGGTTTCTACCATGGAAGGGCGGCGTTGTACAGATCGATAGAACGCTTCGCTCAACAGTCGTGCGCATTGATCATAGTAGTAATCGCTGCCCTTAACAAAGCTCCAGCCGTTCACATCAATGACATATGATTTGCCGTTCACGCGCAGGATATCTAATCCGCAGACAGTCTGGCCGAATGCTTTGGAAACTTTGCGGGCGATATCCTCTTCTTCCGGAGAAAGTTCCGTGCAATAGCGTATTTCTTTTCCGTCTGTGTTCCGTTTGACTAAACCATCGACTGTTGGCGATCTAGTTGTTCGGTTGTTAATACTTCCCCAGGAAACAGCGTTTTCTGGTCATACGCTCTTTCTGTCTCCTTACTTTCTGGTCTCTGCATGAATAAAAGTTGGACCCACGGTATACAGCTTGATGTCCTCGCAATTTTCGGTTTCCATCAGCTGTTCGTAGATCCACGAGTTCTCCTGCTGTGGGGTCGAGAGCTCAGGATCAAATTCACTTGATTTGTTTCCAATCTATTACAGACCAATTAAAGTCAAAGGAGGGTTTAGTAACAAAAGATGTTCAAACTTGCGTAACGTGTGCTGATGCAGCGATTAACAACCCGATCATGCAGGTATGCGAGAAACGGTAGTACCTTTCTGAACAATCGACGACCACCACCTCCCTTTTCTCTACTATAGTAGATGTTGATGTTGTGGTTCTCACCATCGGCAGGCTTTTCGATAAAGGTCTTGGACAAGGAATTGCCCTCGACCTCTATTTCGTCATCATGGATTTTGATCTCTTCTGTGTTTCGTGAGTACTTTGCCAACACACGATGCAAATCCATGCCAGTGCACTCCTCAAATGCACCAGCAGCGTCCGGGTCGACTTCAGGTCCGCCATCACGCGTGACAACGAGACGAGGGGGCGTTGGAATGCCCATAGCATCCAATATGGCCAAAACAACCCGTCGGTCCCACAACAACGACTGCATGACGACGCTGTTGACAGTAAATGGCTTACGGAGTTTGACGTATTGAATGGCCTTGTCCAACGGAAATCCATCCGAGAAAAAGCAAATCAAAAAATCACACCCAGGCCAATTCTCCACCTCTGCATTATTATAAACAATGGACTTGTATTAGTTGCAATGCGTCAAAACAAACAGTACAGCACACTGTCTCTCTTTGCTCAAAGCTAAACTTGCCTTCGTCAAGAATCGTCTTGTCTCCAAAGATCACAATGCTGTAATCGCCGTAACTGAGCAGTCGGTTGAGAATGTGTCGCATCGGTTTCGATCGGGCCTTTTTGTCCAAGCAGCATACCGCTACCACGTCTATATAAGGAATGACAATTTATGTTGGTCAAATTGATTCTTAGTTCACTGGGAAAATGAAGGGTGATGGGAAGCAAGGAAAACGTGATATCATACGTTTGCCTCTTCTGTCGCCTGGCGATGGTGGGGGTTGGGGTGAGGATAATGACGGCATATGGAAAAAGAAATGAGTGAGTGAGGGAAGCTGGAGAGAGAAAAGAGGGAAAGATAGGCCAAGTTCAACAGCTGTCGTTGAAATCGATTGCAAGGAAAAAGAGAGATTCAGTTCGGTGGACCGAAATGCATGCGAGTCTGTACCACCTAGACAGATGTACGGACAGGTTGTGGAGACACAACATCAACGACACACGCTTTATCTTCTTTTCTCCACCAATCTATTCCTTATTAAGGTGTCACATGTGGTTCCTCTTACGGAAGCTCATCAGACCTCAAACCAGGGCACGTTTGAAAGCTAATGACATAAAAACAACTTGCAAGAACTACTTTTGGAAATTACGCTTAACAAGGAGTTGCTGCTGTCATAAACGCAGTGAGTATGGTATTTGTACCCTTCTTGTCTACGTACCGTGACATATGGTAGTACAAGTACTCAACATCTAGCAGTCAAGCCAGGTTTACAACACTTCCAGCCGTAGCTTAACAATAACAATTAAATACCCGGTTTTTCTCTATTGTGGGAGGATTGCAAAGTGTTCTTTTTCGAAAGTATGCTTTTTAAGCATCGTAGAGATGTACACTAACACTATACGGAATATCTGCGCTTACACTTCTTCTTCTCTTCTTCGGTTATTTTGAGCTTAACGAAGCTACGACGCCGGTTGCCTGATCTCGATCAAATCATCAACTAGAACTAGAGATTCCGTTTCTTCAACACGTGTATGAAGTCGGTTACTCTGCTAAAGTTTGTAATAAGCAGTTACTAAGTACACGTCCATTGGTTGAATCGCCTTTGGCACCGGCAACTGGAAAATGAGATGTCATTCAATGACATGATAGGATTGATAATATGCGCAACCCCATTCGCTTGCCATGATCGTTTATATTTCGACTGACACACATTTACTATGGCTATAAAGAAGTGGAGTACTCCAATATCGCGCTTTACAGAGCGGATGAAGCACGCTTGAATTTGCCTGCTGGAAGCTGCCGTTGGAGAAGGATGCAGCCGAGCACGACGTCTTTGTAAGTGAATAGTGGTAGTGGGGCTGTTCAGGTTATGGCGTGATGGAAATTAGGGGAAGTACGGGTGCTGACACGATAAGCCAACTTATGGTCAAATGGGTCAGATTTCTTTACATACGCATACTTTTCCACTACTGCTGTCAAGGAGTATCAATCAAGTCTTGGCCTGCTGTGGCGCGATGTGGTGTCGAAGCGCCTTGTTCCGTCGTTCATTGCCTAGCTTCTTTCTCCCACCCCAATTGTGGTTTGCCGTATCATGACCTCGCTGGTAACTGATCCACATCTATATTCTTAGTG